TTTTGGATCGACAACAGTTTGTCCTTCTACAGAATCAGAAACTTGATTTAATTTTACATTCATAAGGGTATTTCTTGCTTGTCCAATTTTCCTTAAATCTAAGTCTCCAGTTGGTGTTAGCATTCCAGGTGTAGCTACGCCGGGCATCATAGATGCTAAACCACTTGATGGATCAATGCTGGTAGAAGTTTCGCCACCTAAATTTCTTGCTAATACAGAGTCTGGTAATGGTGTGAATTTTTCTGCTCTAGGATTTCTTTGTTTTCTGTTTCTAGCATCTCCAACTTCAGGAACATTTTTCCATTCATCTTCAGTAACATTAACTAATTCTCTTTTTAAATCTGAAAACTGTTGTTGGATTTTAGGACGTTCTTGACGGTATCGTTCCAATTCTTCTCTTAAACGTTTTTCTCTATATTCTTTACGTTTTTCATCCATTCGTTTATCAATTGCCTCATAAATTGCATCAGCTTCTTCATCATCTTTATCATAGGGATCCTAAAAGTATTTTTAAGTATTGACAATAATGTGAATAACACTTTGAATATTCTGCTAATATTGCTAATAAATATACTAACTTTACTAAAAAGAGAACCTCCATAACCAGAGAATTCATCATAATTACAATCATTTAAGTCTTCTTCGTCTTCTTCTTCCTCTTCTTTTTTCTTTGTACGTTTTGTAGGAGGAGCATGCCTATCATCTCTATATACATTAAAGATAATAAATAATTAATTTAAAAGCATATATTAAATGAACAAAGATATCAATACTATAAGAATATTTGAAAGGCTATTACATTATACTATTGCAGTCATTATATTAATTAGAAACAAATGATACAATAATACCTACAAAAATTATAGTGAATGGATAAAATAAATTATCATATAGTTTACAAATTAGTCTTGTTCCATTCTAATCTTGACTTTCAGATTGTTCGATATTTATTTATACTATTCCTCTATTCATATAGAGCAATACTTACGATACATCATTAGCATCTCGTGCTGGACCGATATCAGATCGTGTTGTAAATCCAGTGGCTCTAAAATAAATTAAATTTTAATGAATTTCTAGGAAAAATTAATTTTTGTTTAGTTTTGATGTATATATATAAACAGTGTAATAAATTGTATCGTTTAAATTACCCTCTTCCGACACCAGCTACATATCCGAGTGGAGCAGGTACACCAAGAAAATGTTTCTTGTTTCTCGTTGACAAAGATACAGATGGAACTGCCATTTTAATTTCATTCCATTTTCAACTCAAAAATGAACTATTAATAATAATTTTTCAATTATTAACAGACTAACAACAAAACTGAAAAACCACACGAAGTTTATTATCAGATCGACTCTATACAAAGCAGAAATTACGAACACGCATGAACTTAAAAATATATAGAAAGAATGCAGAATTTTATATTACGATCATGAGGATGTTATATATATGAAATAAAAGAATGAGATAGTGTCCACAAATTACATATGAACATACAAAATAAATAACGATAGAATTAAAAATGATAAATAATAGGTATGTATCTTTTGTTATCGTAAACAATTTCAATAATTATTTTTATGAATTTTAATAATCTAAAATATAAGGATAAGGAATATTCATTTGCGATTGAAGCGCCATATATATCGGTCAAATTCTTTTATAGTCGTTTTGAATTAGAATTTTAAACGAAACAACTATTTTTTTAATTTTTAGTTAGAAATATGAAAAATAATCTTATGATGTAGTCTTTCTTATATTTAATATTTTTTGGTTTTACCTAATTTGACATTTATTTCAAAAAATTTTTGAAAGTTTTATTTTTTTTGAAAAAAATTGTGTCAAAAATAGTGTTTCTTCGTTTATATATAGATATAAAGCTTTTCCAAAAATTCGACAAAGTTATTTCCATGTTTAAAACTTTATCTTTAAAATGAGACCTTCTTTATCAAAATCGGTGAAGTATTACATTTGGATTCATTGTTGGCGTAAATGCTTTCGACATTTTTCGTAAAATATAAGTTTTGTATAGTGGCGCCTCTTGAAATCTGCGATAAAAGAGAAGAAGTTTGTACCCCCATTACTGATTTTCATATATATGCTAAGTGGTGTATGTCGCTCCGAGAAGTAGATGATTACTTGCTTGTGTGAGCATAAATTGATGTTCAAATTTTTCGATCCATTTCAAACATAAGAACATGCTTTGCAATGTTCATACGGAGAAACCAAGGTAACTCACTTGGGAATTTTAATGAGATTTGAACAGGTGATTCTATGGAAAAAAAGGAAATATGTGATTAGCTATTAGTGCTTAAGAGCTATAGTTTCTGAGATAGTAATTTTAGAAATTTTAAAAAAATTTCTTTTTATATTTTATATACTAGCGATATATATTATAGAGAACTTAACTATTTTTTAATAGTTATACAAAAATAATTTATCATAATTGTTTATTCATTTTTATAAACATTACATAGTTCGTAACACATGTTGAATACAAAATAATTTTAATTTAATATTTCAATACATTTAAATTACGATCTAGGGATCGTCAACCGTATGTAATATCAACGAAAACGAACTTTCAATTGATTTTGACAGTTTTCGAGTACTATAGTATTCTTTTTTTTTTACATTCCGACGAATAAACATTGAAATTCTCTCTATGCATGTGGTTAAATTTAAATAATTTATATTTTCGATAATTTTCTAATTATTTAAACAATGTAAAAGTACACGGAATATAATGAACTAATACTTAAATAATAGTACATCCGTTTAAACTTTACATAGTACGTAACAAATGTTAAATATAAAATAATTCTAATTTGATGTTTCAATGAACATAAATTTTTAACTCAGAGTTATTAACTGCATGTAATATCAACAAAAACGAACGCTCAAATGATTTTTATTAAATCAGTTTTCTTTTACATTCTGACAAGTAAACATCGAAGTTTTGATCTTTTACACGACTAAGCTTAAATAACATATAATTTCAATTATTTTATATTTATTTTAACAATGTATAATATATATGGAGTATATCTAACTAATATATAAATAATAGTACACATAATCGCGAAGTAATAATGTGTCGGATAGTAATTTTTATATTAATTAAATATTTCCTCAATATACTTAACAATTTCTTATTATAATAATGATACTAATAATTTTATTTTTATTTTTCTGCTTCGGAACTTTATTGCGCAGAGCAATGAAGGAATTGATTATTGTAAAATAATCAATAAAATAATAAATAAAAAATCACCAAGTAGAAGCAATGCTTATTTATTGATTAAAATTTAATCGCATTTTACGATTTAAATAACAAGTATACTTGAATTGAACCTTTGAAAAAAATATTTTTTACGATCACATAGATTATATTTACACAGGACAGTAAAGTTTCATGAATTAAGTAGAGTGTCATCTCGCTATTAATGAATAATTATCGCGCTTTAGAGTCAGTGCATCATTAAAGATAAACTCAATCTATAACAACCTACAAAAAGCTCAAGTTATTTTTTCAGGATTGTATTTGGGTTGTCGTTTTCCTTCCATATTTTAGAATCAGAGATGATTCTAATTCTTTAGCACTAATCACTGTCATGGAATACCCTGCAGCAGTGGTTAAGGTACGAAACAAAGGAGAGGCTATATATCGAAGAGACTCCGACAAACTATGGCTTAGAGAGCAACTGTAGGCTATTGAGTTATTTTCGAACCTTTCAAGAATGGCTCTTAGTCATATTTTAATTTTACTATGTTCTCGCTCAAAATGTTTTTATGATGATAGGTGTACGGTAGATTTGAAAAACTAAGATGATATCATTTTCTGTCTTCGGCCCCATTTTTCCATGCATATGCAAATAGGATTATTTCATATTTTATGCATTTTTATTATTAAAGTCAAGTCGTATACATTTTTCACTTATTTATTTTTTTTAAGTTTAATTAAATTCATTTTTTTATTTTTCATAATTATTTTTCATTAATTTCTTATTTCTATAAATTTAAATTCTCTAGATTAAAGTCATAGTTACGAAACGTATAAGATATGGCAATTGAAACTGCGCTGGGTAAAGACGCACATGACGGTAAAACAAGCATACTTAAATATATGTCATATTTTTTACTTGCTGTTACAGGAAGATTAAAGGTTAAGAATTTTTCATTTTCGATATAAATTGCGGAATATTTCGAGTTACAAATATTTAAAAATTATATTTACAGGAATATAGATTTATTCATGATTCGTGCGGATTATAAAAATGATAATGAAATACATAGATATGAAAAATAGATTTTGCGGTATTATCGATTTAAAATCGATTGTGTTGAATAAATACTAATTTAAATCTTTATACGGAAGAAGAAAAAATTTTTCGATTAGATGAAATTTGAAATGGTTCTTTACTATTTTTCAATAAACTAGATTTCGTGGTACTACAGATTTTTTGCGTTTTTTTCCGAAAGGCATTGAACGTGATTAAAATTTAATTTGATTTAAAAAGAATAAAGTCATCGTCAATTTGTGAATCTCCATATGCAACAATTTCTACATAAGATCTATGTAAGATCTAGATGCACGATATTATTTTTAGCATAATATATATAATATTTTATATCCTTGTGTGTTCTATTGTAAATGTGTTATATCGAGCTAATAGTTGCTTAAATAAGCTTTAGCTGCTTATATGAGTTTAATCAGAAACAAAAAATATAAAATTTATACAGTTACAAACACTTTTCAGTTAATCTATCTTCAAAGAAGTTTTAACATATGATCTTTTTCTGCTTTTGTTAGATGTACTAATATTTTTACTATGTACATAAATTTCTATTATACACCAATTCAATTGTTAGGTCACACATGAGAGGGTATAACTTATCAAGCTTATATATCGATACGATAAGCACACGGTGGAGAAAATGTTTCCCGCTTGCGTTTGTAGTTCATATTTTGTCCATACTTGTCGCTGAAGTCACGCTTCGAACGAAAGGTGATGAACAACCTTAATATATACGAATGGTTCTGTGAAATATTTCAAATGATTTATAACTTGATGTGTGTACGTATACTAGTCGAATAAAAAACATTCGATTCGTTTGTTCTATCTAATGTTCTATGCTATGATAAAAGTTGTTTTGTGAAATAAAAAGTTTGAGACTATTCAAATGCATCAAATTATTACAATAATAAAATCATATTGTAATATATTACGTTACATTGAATTTCTTTGAAATTGTCAAATGTCAGTATGGTAAGTATAAATAAATGTTAAAACGTTTATGGTGTGAAGGAGAATAGATTATTTAAGAGAAATATTCGATAACCTCCATTTTTTGACATTTCTTTAGTGCCAATTATTATCGTTATATTTTTTTAATCAAAGAATCTTCTGATCTTTGATATCTTGTGTTTCATCGAGTCGCAATGGTGCGAGGGAACATAAATCTCTCACGACCATCTCGAAAAAAACGATATGTCGACCTCATGACGGCTGAATGATTTTAATGATTTCTATGTGAACGTATTTTTTCATGTACATTTATAATTGACGGAAATAAACATTGAAGCACTGTGTGTTAAATGTTCAAACTTATTTAACAGACAACAGGTAATATTACAATACCTTTTTGATTTCAATAACCTTATGTTTTATAGAACATATTTATGATATTGATATATTATTAAATCTTATCAAATTATTATTAATTAAATAATTAGCAGGGTAACATTGGCTCACGTATATAGTTAATGAAATGGGTAGTGCCTGGTGGCAGTGCGCTGCATGTCTGAGAGCACAGGAAGAAGATATTTGTGAATTACAATTAAATCACTGTAATCTTTATGATGTACCACCTGATGTGTTCATTTATGAGAGAACATTGGAGAAATTATATCTTGATGCCAATAGGGTAAATATGCAGTTATATTGTTGAAATTCAATTATTATTAATAATGTATTTCTATATTATTTTTTACTTGCTAATTTAATTTAATTTTTATAATAGATTAATTATTTTATAAAACATTACAATATATTCTGCAGATAAAGGATCTTCCAAGACCACTCTTCCAGTGCCATGAATTGAGAATACTTTCCCTTAGCGATAATGAAGTTACTGTTTTACCACCCGCCATAGCATCGTTAATTAATCTTGAATATTTAGACTTAAGCAAAAACAGTTAGTATATATTTAATACTCTTATTATATATAAAATTAAATGAAATACATTAATTTTATAAATCATCTCTCTATTTCAGGTATAAAAGAGTTACCAGATAGTATAAAAGAATGTAAAAATCTTCGTTCTATAGATATTAGTGTTAATCCTTTTGAAAGATTTCCTGATGCTATTACACATATTGTTGGATTACGGGAGCTATATATAAATGATGCATATATAGAATATCTTCCAGCTAATTTCGGGCGGCTTTCAGCTTTAAGGACATTGGAACTTCGAGAAAATAATATGATGACACTTCCCAAAAGCATGAGCCGTTTGGTAAATTTGCAAAGGCTTGATATTGGTAACAATGATTTCACCGAATTAGTAAGTATAATAGTAATGGATGACTATTGTTATAAAATTTTTTTTAATTATTGAATTTTAATTTTGTCTGTAGCCTGAAGTTGTTGGTGATCTTGTTAATCTTACTGAATTATGGATAGATGGTAATGATATACGACGTATATCTCCAAATATTGAACAGCTATATCGTTTAAATCATTTTGATTGCACTATGAATGCAGTACATCTTATTCCATCAGAAATACGAGGATGGAGAGATATATCAATAATGAACCTCTCATCAAATGAAATTTATCAGCTTCCAGATACACTGTGTTATTTACGTACAATTGTGACACTTAAAATTGATGACAATCAATTAAATGCACTGCCAACTGACATTGGTCAGATGTCAAGCTTAGAAGAGCTTATAATCACTAAAAATTTCCTTGAGTATTTACCGTCTTCTATAGGACTTTTACGAAAATTGCATTGTTTAAATGCAGACAATAACTACTTGCGATGTTTACCACCAGAAATTGGAAGCTGTACTGCGTTATCTTTGCTTTCTTTACGATCAAATAATCTTACGTGTATACCGCCAGAAATGGGCCATTTATCCTCGTTAAGAGTACTTAATCTTGTGAATAATTGTATCAAATTTTTACCAGTTTCCATGTTAAATTTAACTAATTTAAAAGCACTATGGTTAAGTGATAATCAAAGTCAACCATTGGTTCCATTACAACAAGAATTTAATTGTGAAGAAGATATGATGGTATTGAGTTGCTTTATGTTACCTCAAAAGCAACGTCAAGATCTTGAACGTAAGTTTAGATTCATTTCATAATATCTAACATGCGTGCATTTAGTGAGTAAACTTATATAAATACTGTAAATATTACTGCTGCTATAGTGGATAATGATCAGCAAGATGAAGACTGAAATGGTAAAGTATAATTAATGAAATAAATTAGAATAAACCAAAATTCTTTAATTAATATTTTAGTTTGTAAAATTTACATATATATTTCTTTATAATATAAATTAATGTTATAATAAATTGTTTACGTTTGTTATTATTAGAAATGGCACAAGCTGTAGGACCAATTTCAAGCTCGATAATTGGATCTGGGAAAAGAATATGTTTCGCTGCTGAGGTAGAATCTGAAGTTCCCAATCAACTTCATCGAGCACCTACTCCTTATCCAAAAGAATTACGTAATCTTGCCAGGCATGCTCGCAATTTACATCATCAAACTACACATGACCAAAAAGTATGTTTAGAAAATATTATATAGTTGAGCAAAATTCTATAATAAATACAAATTTACAATTTCAGATGAATTTAGAACAGCAGACAATGATTAAAGAAGCTATCATTACAAAACCTTCATCTACTTTAGAAAATGCATCCAAATCTGGAACTTCGTTCTCACAAGGTTTTACTAATAAGGTATTTACATTCAATAACAAATTTTTAAACATATTTTTTGAGTACAGACATCCTAATGTAAATGTTATTTGATTTCTAGAGTTTATCTTTATCTATATCAACAATTGATCATTTACCAAAAGATTGTAAGATTAATAGTTCTGCAAAGTCAATAGTGCATCAGGAAAAAGAACACTCCAATTCAGAAGAATCTTCAGATGAGGCTAATAAAACAGTACTTGCAAAAGAAAAGAGTCCCGATATTCGAGAAGCAAAATATGTACGCAATCCTACATCTGATTATCTTGCCAAGACACCTACAGTAGCAGATTACGTAAATTCTACTTGGATGCCAGATGAATACTCTAAAGCAAATATAGCTAAGATCGTGGAATCTGATAAATTTATAGAACCATATAATACTTCTATTATTATTGATGGGAAAAGTTACGATCAAGTAAGATCAAATGAATTTCCCCCAGTTCCACCACCATATCACATTGCAGCTGCATTTTCCAAAAAGGCTGCACTTTTTCAACAATTTAATAATAGTAAGTTTTAATACATATATGTGCATATACACATATCTTATTTTATGGTAATGATAGAATAATAAGAATATAAATGATTTTGAATTTTTTTTAGTATTACATCAAGAGAATCATGTAACAAACTTACAAAATACATCTAACATATCTAATGTTGATGATATCCAAAATTCAAATGGAAATATAGAACCTGTTAAAATAGAGGAATATGTTCATGCAGCTATAAAGAATCCTACATTCGATGATAAAGAAACGAGTAATACTTCAGCTAATGAAAAAAAAATGGCACTTAATACTAATGATCTTGTATCATCGCCAGAGACAACAAATCTTGATCAAACAATTGAGACTGATCGGTTCTTTAAACCAAGTAAAATTCCAGTTCTAAGAACAAAACATTCGGATACTGTAAACTTTAATTGCAACAATGATACATTGAATAAAAGTGTAAACTCACTTATGGAAGAATGCGATTTGCCGAAAACATTAAATGTATTAAGTATACCTACATCTCCTATTACAGGAAAGAAGTATAGGAGTCCACTTTCTTCACAAGAAAAAACTTTGAATCAATTAAAGAAAATAGCAAATGGCAATATTTCAAATAATAATATATCATGTGATAATACAAATGATAATAAAATGGAAAATATAGTAAAAAACGAAACAAGTACGAACGATATTTGTCATAATTCTGATTCTTTTATTACAAATTGTATGGATGTTGAAAACGATGCAGGCTCCGATAGAAGTACGTTACTTTCAGCTAGTAACAAATCTTTGAATAACACAAATAATTTAGATAATAAAGTGCATAAGATATCCAATGAACCATTAACATTAGAAAGAAGACCACGATTTAAATGGATGTTTGGACCTCACAAAAATGCAAATGTGGTACGTTAATTTATAATATGTACTAATGTTTGCAATACTATAATTTGTTAAAAATTATAATGTTTACTCTTTTATAGTTGCCTGTTCAAGTAAAAAAAAACCCTGGTCTTGGATTTAGTATAGCTGGTGGTGTAGCAGGAGCTGAAACTGTAAGTTGTATTCAACATTAATATTTTCTATGATTATAATCAATAAAAGTTTTAATTTAATTATTCGTACATATATATACACATACTATACATATATATACATACATATATATATACACCTATATATATGTATATGCAATAACGATCATGGAACATACATGAATCTCCTATCTCAGGGTATTATTGTGACAAAAGTAAATCCTGATGGCCCAGCTCAAGGTACTCTTAGACCTGGTGATAAAATTTTAGAAGTTGATGGAATAGATTTCACAAAATCTGATCATAATAATGCAGTTGCCGTTCTTCGAGCTACTGGTGCCGTGGTATCTATGATGATCAGTCGTCATCAATAATGAAAAATGAAAAATCTTTTTAAAAGTACACTATCGTGTATAAAACTAAAATTGCGATCTACATAGAAATTTTCACCTGGATGTTCTAAAACCAAATTTATTAATGAATGTAACTGTATCCCAGTGTTGTATGTTTGCTAAGAATGCCATGTATAAATTGATACTTAAAATGCTTATAGTATGCAATAACTTTAAGCTTTTTGAGAAGATACTTGGGCAAACTAAAATGTGATCTATATAATAATGTCTGAATATGTTATTTTTTAAAATTTTAACATTTTTTATGGAATGAGATATAGTATTTGGTCCTTACAGTATAAACGTGTTTTTACTAATAGAAGACTAGACAAGGTTCTTTCTTGAATCTTAACTATCTAAAAAGCAGAACTGTGTTGTATGCAGTTCTGTAATGTTGTTTAAACAGTTGAATTATGTCAACTTGTTCTCTTTTGCGAGAATTAATAATGTGCCAGAAAACAAAATATTATTTATTAATTATGCACATACATATAGATAAATACACACACATGTTATGCATAAATTATATAAAAGATTTATTAATTATAGATGAACAGGGTTTCTACAGACATACGTATATCTGTCTCTGCAAAATGTATAATTTGCTATATTCTTGATAATTCGTGATGCGCGCGAATATTATCTTATATTTTCTATAACTTTTATAAATTTATATCACAATGTATAATAACTTTTGGAACAAGATAAATATGTATGTGTATTTTCAAATATGCAAATAATTCTATTATATTATATTTTCATTTGTATTTATAAGCAAATTAATCTCATAATTATTAAAGGATATAGAAGCATATTTTGTGTGAATGTGATGGATAATTAAAACTATAAAATAATATTTTTCTGTAGGAACCTTGTTAATATATAGAAAGCAGAAAAAGATATTCTTCTATGTGCCGTATTAAGTAACAATGTTTATATAGTTCAGTTCATTATTATTGATCACATCAAAGTTATTAATATTTTTATATTATCTGTGACTGATTGGATTCTTCACACAATAGTATATGTGTATATTTGTTAGATTTATGTTGCAGTATGTATATACTGTATTTCTTTCCTCTTATTTACAAAGGCTCCTCATTACAAAGTACAGTTATTTTTTTTGTGATTTAAACAATTTTATAATATTTAGCCTTAACTTGGTACAAATAATAATTTAACAGACTAACAATAAGAACTTATTATCATGGTTGTGATTTATCTCATGATTTTGAGAAACAAATGTATATCTTTTAAAAACTATGCTTTATAACAGTCGATAGTAGGATATTATATTTTCAGTATTTTTTTTTTTATAAAGTTGTATTTACAAGTAGAAAATTATCACAGAAGTATACAGTAGCATATAATGAAATATTTAGAATCATATAAGGAACAGATAGCTCAAATTAATATAATTTTAATAAAATTAATTAGAATAAAAACCTGTAGAAAAGTTAGAAATTCAATGTTATTTGAATTTAAATTGAATTTTTAAAGAAAGCAATAATACCCACACGCACATATATTATCAATCCATACTTTAATTTTACTTTAAGTTGGAGTTATATATATGTAATTATCCAATTCTTGGAATTGGTATACTTAATCTTATTACATCATGTCATACACACAATGTTAGATTAGATTACTGCATTTATAATGAAACACAAGTATATAACTAAATTTGCACAGTGTGTTGTTGCATTTAAATAATAATCATGTTTACATAGGTATATATTATAAATTTACATTCACCAAATTGAATAGATTCAACTGTTTAAAAGATATTGGTTATATATCTTAAACAATTATACTATATTGCTTGAATCTATAAGGAATTGTTAGTTACATAAAGAAGATAAATTATACAAAAGAGATACAAGATGCATTTTTAAAAGAAATGCATTTGAGAGAGTTGCACTTAAATGTATAAATTTTACAAAGATGAACTTATACGCATATGTATATCATTTCAAAGCAGTTCCTTCTTTTTTAACGTAACTCAGTAAGAAAAAAAGAGTAACTAACAAGGGGACAAAGAAAATCTTTTTCGAAATTCTTATTTCTAAATGTGTAGGTATTTGTAGTTACTTAATATATTTAACTATGATACGATAAGTTGTAATATACGATACTCCAGTGCAAATCTTTAACGATATACAAGTTAATATGTTAAAAAAAAAAAAAAAGAAAAAAGAAAAAGAGGCAGATTAATCGATCTACGTACTTCCAACATAAATATAATTATTTTTTGCGATGATTCTTAAAAATTTATTTTTGCGATGATTCTTAATATATCTGATTTAATTTGTATAAGATTATACAATACATTTCTGTGGAAGTTAATGAACAAGAGGTGAAGATCTTGTAAAAAAAATGAACTACTTCTTAAGATTATCTATCTTTACTTATAGTTATATTATTATTTTTTTTATGCACGAGAGCAGCTTTGTATCACATTTATGTATGTACGTTATGTGTTATATAGAGAAATTCTAAACCTAGTCATAACAGACAATGACATTTACACATTTTACGTATGTGTGCATTTATTCATGAACTAGTAGTGTGACAAGCGATACCGTTACATCGTAAATACTACCATTTTTTTTATATTCGCGTCTATATTATTATTATTATTATTATTATTATTATTTTTATTATTATTATTATTATTATTATTATTATTATTATTATTATTATTATTATTATTATTATTATTATTATTATTATTATTATTATTATCATTATTATTATTATTATTATTATTATTATTATTATTATTATTATTATTATTATTATTATTATTATTATTATTATTATTATTATTATTATTATTATTATTATTATTATTATTATTATTATTATTATTATTATTATTATTATTATTATTATTATTATTATTATTATTATTATTACTACTATTATTATTATTATTATTATTATTACTATTATTATTTGTATCTTTGTACAAATTCAATTTGTGACTTTTTTGTACATGATAGACACTATAAACGACATTTATTTTTTTCTTTCTATGTTCTTAAGTATTATTATTAAAGCGAACAGGTTTTTTCTGTACGTTTGTTTTTTTAAGACCACCAATACAATTAAGTTAATGAAAAGCAATGGGAGTAGGAGGACGTTTTCTCGTTCTACAGAGAATAGAGTGAGCTAATAACAATCACTAAAACATATATTAAGTATTAAACGGATTTGGACCATTAATATATTATATATATACAACTTTTTCTACTATTCTAACTATTAAACAGACTGACTATCTTTTGGACGAAACACTTTAAGGTGGTGTTTGACAAAATGACTGAATGTTAGTGTATGATTGAAAAAAGGGATAATATTTAGCGCAAATGTACATAAATAAATATGTCAAGCGAATGGGAAATCAATCAAGTGGTCGTACTCGTCCTTATACTTTTGATATTGTATTTTATTTTATTTGTGAAAACATTTTATTTTTATTAGGTCCTCATCAACGTGTTTTAATCTAACGTAATAACGTAGCGTACTATTTACATTGTTATTGGTACATCCTCGATTATTGTATCGTTATTAAAAAGAGTTATAATTATTTGCATCGACTATTAGTACCACCACTTTATTAGCGTGCATGTTTGATATGATTGTCATACTTCAAAATATACATACATACATGATATAACTAGTAATAGATCGATGTATATATATAAAAGAAAATAATAATAATAATAAAATAAAATAAAATAAAAAATGTCAGCGTTCGGTCGGTCCATCATAAGCCAATCCAAGCCAATGAACGCCGAACCGAGCGCAACATTTTCAATATGTTGAGATAACTATTTTATCTGTACGAAAAAGATTCTATTTGGTTGTGCAGCAATAAATAAAGAAATAAATATTTACGTAAAAAAAATAAAAAAACAAAGAGAGTTGATTTATTCCAATATATCGTAAACAATTTCTAAGCGATAATCTAAGTAACTTTTAGTTAGATCATCGGATTATCAATTTATACATAATGAACTTATTGCTAAAGATTCTTATTTATAGTCAACCGATCAACGTAATTCTGCCAATTTGTTTATTATTGTCATAACAAAATGAAATATATTTCATAATCTTAACATTAATTCGATGGGATGTTGTACATAATATTTCCACAAGTTCGAATATTTTGCCATCGTAACACCGTCGATCACTCGATGATCCGCAGCCCAACTAACGGCAATTATATTAGCTGCTATCACGTTATCTTTTTCATCAAAACGTGGTAACTTTTGTATTTTACCGAAAGCTCCGATCGCTATTTGCGGAGGTAGAATCACTGGTTTTGTGTAACTACCTCCGATCTGTGAACAAATGGAAGATAATGTTCTTTGAATTTTAGACAATAAATAAAAAAACAAGGAAGAAGAAAATTACATTTTTTATTTTTAAACGGAACTTACCACACCAATGTTGGACAAGGAAAAAGTTGTATCGGTTAAATCAGCCAAAGAAATCGATGTTTTCTTACCGAGTTCTTGAAGCCTGTTCAATTTTTTAGCGATACACAAAATACTGAGATTCTGAACGTCCTTTATATTTGGAACAATTAGACCTTCCGGAGTATCCATAGCTATACCGATGTTATGTCTTTCAGAAATTCGTATGCATTGCTTCTCTTCGTCGACCCAACCGTTTAATTCGGGAATTACTTGCAAAGCATTCGAGGCAGCTTTTATCAGAAAAGGCATTAGAGATAGAGAAATACCCTGTTCCTTGAATGAATTTTTCACTTCATTTCGATAACGTACCAATTTGGTAATGTCACATTCGTCGCTATAGACGAAGTGTGGTATATTCTGAAAAATCGTAAAGATTTTTATTTTTATTGTTGGATTATTAAGGGGAAAGAAAAAAAGATGAAGAGAAAATATTAGGGAAAAAGAGATAAAAAAAGTGAAAAAAAAATATATTAAAGAACAAAAAGAAAGAAGATGAGAAAAAGATGGTACCAAGGATTGTGTCATGGTTGTCCACATATGCTTGGAATATTTTTTTATTGGAATCATTTTTCCAGGCTGCCGAGAAACATCCTCAATTTTCTTTTTTAAATCGAATTTTTCAAGATGTTCTAGTACGTCTTCTTTGAGAACACGTCCATCTTTACCAGTGCCGATGACCTCAGCAAGATTAATATTGTTCTCCGTAGCCAGTCTTCTGACAGTTGGCGTTGCAATGATCTGAATCTTTTCGGAATGGATATCCGTCAAACGTTCTGAATTCGCTTTATCATCCCTTTTTTCTAATTCCCCGCAGTCATTTTCTTCTTCCGTCTCTATCGTTTTCGTTTCTTGCTCCTTTTCGACGATGTTTTCCTCGTCGAGCTCGATGTCTACCAAAGGTTCTCCAACAAGAGCGATTTCATCTATCTTATAATGAAGTTTTCTTATAAAACCATCATAACGACTAGTTATCGATACCGAGGCTTTATCACTTTGGACCTCACAGATGTTATCGAATTGAGACACTCTATCACCTGGTTTTACAAACCTACAGATCATTCATACGAGCAATATCAATTTCTTTCATATAATCAACATTTTTTATAATAAAATATCTATTTATGATTAACTGATTATCAATAGAAAAATATTTTATACTATACTATTATGTTTATTATACTACACTGTACAACAAAAATATATTTTAAAATTCTTTCATTAATATTGATAGTCAAATCCATTTAATTTTGGAATGAGAAAAACGAGTATGACATTAGAATTTATTTATTATCTATTATTTTTTAAATATAATACTTGCACATTCAACCGTTAGTAATGCGGTAATAGTGAAAACAAACATTAAATGAACACCACGATTACTTCAAAGAACCTATAAAGAGACAATAAACAAAATACGAACAACAACAATTCAACATTTATGTATTCAGTTGCACCGTGCTGTGTGGACTTCAAATTTTTTAAGTATTCATAAAATTACTCTTATAGCATTAATGGGCTATAGCTAACAATCAATAGCTAGCAATGAGTTTAAAATTCATATTCATTTTAGTTATGTTGAAATCAATATAAATTGATTATTTTCAGATCAAAAAGATTTTTATTGTTGACCAATCTTATTAATGTAATTAATAAATTGTTTGTTCATTTTACTTGAAATTCGATAAATTATAAGAAAATAAAAAGAAAACGTCGATCTTGTGTGAAATCTATGAATGATCGGTATGAGGAATGCCAATTTCTTTTGAACAATCGATAATTTTTATTATCGAAAAAACGTATCTTTTTCTAAGATCGATTGATTAGCTATAGAAAGATATTTCATATTATACAATTAATTATTAATCCACTTCCAAATTATTTGTTCATTTCATTTGAAATTCGATAAATCGTTAGTAAACAGAAGGGAAATGTCGATTTTGTGGGATATCTATGAATGATCGATACGAAGAATGTCAATTTCTTTCGAAAGATCGATAATTTTTATGATTGAAGAGTCATATCTTTTTCTGAGATCGATTGATTACCAATAGAAAGGTATTTCGTATTATTCAATTAATTATTAATGCACTTTGAAGTTGTTTGCTCATTTCATTTGAAATTCGATAAATTATAAGTAAACAGAAGGGAAACGTCGATCTTGTGGGATAAAATCACTCAAATAACACTTTACTCACCATTCCTTCACAGTGACATCTCGAATGCCTTCTCCGATGTCCGATAACTTAAATGGGACAATGGTGCCTGATCGAAGAGAGCTCAGCGACAGGAAACGTCGCTTCGACGTACAGCCGTTTTTACTCTGCAATAAACGTTTTTCGATAGACAAATGTTCTCTTTCGTCTCGGATATTCCGATATATATCAGACTATCTACGCTCGATTTAAAGTACTCGCAGAAATGTCATTACATATTAATTCATTCAATTAATTCAATTCGATATTATTTGAATCGAAAATTTTTTCGATAACATCTATCAAAATTCTTTTATGTTTTCTGAACGATATCTCGTTAATCATTTTATTTATTTATTTTTTTAAACATTATTTCGATCTATAATAAAAATATTAATGAGAATAAAAAAAAAGACGATTTTTATGATATTTTTTGAGATTTTCTCGAGAGGATCAAGAAAATTTTGAAAAAAGGAATTCATGTGCGATAAGATTTTTGGCTCATAGCCATATCGGTATACAGATGAATATAAAAAGGTGATAGAAAATCATCACCAAACACACTCGAAAGATCATTTTCATACATTAACACACTCGAACTATTTTTTTTTCCTTTAAAGGCAACAAGTTGTTTTTGTATCTCTCTTATTAAATTTAACTATGACATAGTTATTATTAGATTATTATATACAGATATAATAATCTTGCATAATGCGTTAAGGTCATTGAATTTTGTATAATTATGACTGAATAGCATAAAAAAAAGAGAAAGAAAAAGAAAATGTAATAAATGAAAAATATTTTTAAAAATGTTAAGTTATGAATGACAGCCATTGAATAATATCACACACACACAATATTAAACAAAGAATTTAATTACGAAAACACTGATTGGTTTTTCATAATATTTTTCAACTTTGCTATTATATTTTGTTTTCCTTTTTCTATTTAAGTTTTCCCTTCTCTCTGCTCATAATGTTTCAGATGCACACACACATACACACACACACACACACATTATTTTTGACACTTACAATGACAAAGCAGAAATATTAAACGTATACTTTACCGATCGTAGAATGGAGGAGCCGAATTGTAAAACGAAAGCCATCGCGATTTTGAAAGAGAGATTAATTTTGATAAAAAAATAATAAAAAGGAAGAGATTCCGTGACTAAGAGAGACACGAGGAAAAGCGTAGAAATGTTTCAAAACGACTGAAATATAGAAGTAACAAAAGACCTTGAGTTATGGTGATAACCAGTAGTTATCATCATTTATCATTGAACAGTTACGATATCGAATATTCAGTGAATATTTATATAATGGTAGTAAATATGTATGGTGGTAAAATGATAAGGAGTGTTTATATGTTCCTCGTAAACATAACTAATAATCATTCTTATATATCATTCTTATATATATGTATATGTGTATATATAATCTTTTAACTTATTTCATTTCTAAAAGACTTTTATACGTACATATTTTCTTATCAACAGATGATTAATTATTTAAAAAAAAAATATTACACTTTGTATTTTATTTTCTTATTTTTTATTTAAATCTAAAAGAAAGGAATATTAATTAAAAAAAAAATATATTATAGTATGTATTTTAGTATTATCTTTTATTTAAATTTGTTCCTTTTTTCTATCTCTTTAAGTAATTAAAGGAAAAAAAAAATATTTTTTTTGGAAAGATTATTACTCATTCATTATAAATCGATAAATTATGATTTATTTATTTTATGAATACCACTGCTTAATATTTAAGAATGTAAATATTTAAATGTATGATCGTTATGAATACGGTAAATACTTTACTCCCCTCTCTTCAAAACGCATCAGGAAATGACGCGTTGATTCCTGCCGATGTGAAATCTATTTAAGACGTTCGGTGATAACGATTTTTCATTTTGACAACGATTACGACAACAACAATGTTGACGACAAGGCATTAATGTATTATCAATTGGCTTTTTTTTTAGAATTTCACAAGGAAAAATGTGTATATATACAATATAATATAATATAATATAAGAAATTAGATTTCCATGATAATACCAGTAGTTATCTAAGCTTTCGTTTTAAGATCGAGAAACCAAGTTTCCTTCCACTTGTATCTTCATTTCTAGGAACTTTGATTTAATTAATTTCCTTAATTTGAATTTTGTCTGTTAAGTTCTACTTACCTGTGCTTCAAGGATGAACACACATACACACACACACACACACACACGGATATACTTTATATAATTTAAGTTATATATCTTCTATGTTTTTATAATATATATGTAAATGTTTCATATATTCTATAAATATTTTTCTTCTTATATAATGTATATATATGTGTGCGTGCGTGTGTGTATGTGTATATATATACACACATACAATATATTGAAATTGTTTAAATATTTATTTGAAAATCTCTTAAATCTTTCGCTTTTAATTTTTTCATATTAATAATTGACGATAAATAATATGCTTAAATGATGCTTTTTTGCAATAATAGTAGGTAATTCGTTTAATTGTTCACTTGTTTAAGTTGATATCATTATTTCTTTATTATATTATGTAAGAAAAATGTTTGCGATGATAACAGAATTATGACAAGGAAAATTATTAATACAAAATTCAAAAACTTGAAGAAATTTTTTTCAGAAATATTTAACGAAAAAGGTTAAACCTTTGAAACAAAGAACGAATTGTATCTATCTAAACATTTTTTACTTACTTAGTTGACTTATATGTTTAATCTAATGTGCTGATCCGCAAAGTTATTGTACGATACACGTAATTAAACATGTAATTGTACGATTTCCTTGTTCTTCTCTTCTTATTTTATTTTTTCCATTTTTGTTTGTTTTTTTCATTCTCTTTTCTTTTATTGACAAGATCGCAGAATTCCAATATACAGATATAGCAGCGAGATGTGTAAATTAATATGAACGATTGTGCGAAGCGATTTGGGTATAAAACGAACGAGTAACAGACGTTCATTCGAAAAATTGTTCGATTTGTTTCGAAGAATATATGAATGTGATTAAAAGAATACAAGGATGGGCACGATCAATGAGAGAGAGAGAGAGAGAGAGAGAGAGAGAGAGAGAGAGAGAGAGAGAGAGAGAGAGAGAGAGAGAGAGAGAGAGAGAGAGAGAGAGAGAGAGAGAGAGAGAGAGAGAGAGAGAGAGAGAGAGAGAGAGAGAGAGAGAGAGAGAGAGAGAGAGAGAGAGAGAGAGAGAGAGAGAGAGAGAGAGAGAGAGAGAAGAGAGAGAAAGAGAGAGAAAGAGAGAGAGAGAGAGAGAGAGAGAGAGAAAGAGAGAGAGAGAGAAAATCTTGCAGATGCAAGATCATTCGAAAATAAATATTTATTTCTCTCATCTAAAACGTTTGAGATCTGTATTGCTCGTTTTTCGATAACTTCTATTTTTCTTTTTCTCTCATAGTATAAATTACAAATATTTCATAATACTAAATAGATAAATAAATAAATAAATAAAAATGACTGTACAAAGAAGTATAAATAAGTAAATAAATAAATATTTAATTCGAATATGTATATCTAACGTAGATTAAATTTCTAAAACGTTGCTAACATATCGTAAAATCGATAACATTCGAATTAATTAAAAAGGAACTTTCACACCATTCTTTTCTTTCCTATCAGAATTTCACTGTCTTCCGATAGTTCCAAAAAGTATCTTGAGATTGAATTTATCGCCTAGACGATCGAATGAAACTTTCGAGCACGTATTTTTATGTTACATTTTAATAGAATTTCTTTAAAACAATGTAAAGAATAAAACGAAACACGATGGTTTCGTTCGTTATTTCCTCGTTTACTTATATTCATAAAGAAAGTCCGCTAAATCGGTTTGGTTGAATCATTCGTCTTTTTCGCGAATTATTCGAAATTAATTAATCTTATTTATGAATTTTTTGTGATACAACACGATCGTTTGATGCACACTTTTTACATACATAGATATATATCTATCTTTTTATACATATGTACGTATATTCATATATATATATGAATATATATATATATGAATATATATATACCAAGGATAACGTTAACAGTAACAATAACGACAACAATGATCGTGGTTGATTGATCGATGGTCTTGATATACATATATATACACACTGTGTTTTGTAATACATTAATAAGTATAGTATTAATGAATTAAGGATGCAAAACACAACAAAGCATTCGTATGAATGTCGTCTGTTAAGTTAATCGATTATGCAAATTATTGTTTTAACATTATCTCGATAAAGGTATAATATTTGTACTCCAACACACACTCTCGGAATATTGTATATTATGAAATATGTACTTTGTACATAATTCGCGAATGAAATAACATCGATCGATATTGTATCTTGTCTTTTTTTATCTTTTTTTTATTTTTATATTTTCTTTTTTCTAATTCACACAGTCTCGTAAACTTTCTCTCATCGTTTTTTTATATTCTTCTTAATCGAAGAAATTAATTTACGATGGAATATTGCATTATTATTTTTTCTTTTTTTCCTTCAGTAATTTACAATCCACTCGTTGAATATGTCTCAAATTTATCGAATATGTCGAAGTACGTAAAAGTAATTGGTGAATCGATTTACAATTGAGCCACCTGTTCGTTATTAGTTGTCATGCTAGACGAGTTTGGTGCAAGTGAGATTTCTGTTACGCCCACCGAAGTTTGTACGGCCGCTGTGAGTGCACTTTGCAAAGGCATACTTTCGCTGACTAATTCGCAGGCAGTATCTGAAATATTAAATAATAATATGATAACATTAATTTTTAGGTTTTTAGTGATATATATATATATATATATATATATATATATATATATATATATATATTATATCATATATATCGGAATCGAGTCTTTCATCATTTTTTAAATAGATAAGTTAACAGATAAATTCGTACGGATCATTCATTTCATATCAATGGGAATTGATAAAACTAAGTAAATAATCTCAATTTTATCAAGTCTTTCTATCTTACGAGATAATACCCGAACAGTTTTAAATTATCTTTTACCTAAAAAGTCACCAGAAAATCTAATACATATTCATAATCTCTGATGAAGAGAACGATGAGATAGAAATCCTCTCTCTGTATATGTGAATATAATTTAATAAATTCATTACTATTAAATGTCACTTCGACCGAATATTTCCTTACACCCATAACGTCAGTAGATAAATTATAATAGAAATTGGATAGCATCTAATATTTTACGTTTGTTCATGTAAATAAATAAATTCATTTTATAGAATTATTATTTATTTTTTTTAACGTACTATTCTAACATCACTGATTATTAATTATTGCTGCTCGCTATTATGCTTTTCAATATTAATGTATATTCAACGGGAATGGCTAAAATTAAAAATTAAATGGTACAGGAGATCCAAGAGAAGAAGATTAAGAGTCAGATAAAAAAGAAAAGATAACTTTGCATATTATTGTAAGTTTCGCATAAAACCATTGCCGTCCTTTTTTCTTTTCTTTTTTCTTTCTCCAAGTTTTTTCAATAATTAAAATAATTTGACAAAGTTTACGAAAAAAATTTAACGAAGTTGTAATCTTGATTCAGTAAACGCATCTTTCGTGTACGCCGCGTTTTAACGAAGAATTTCACATCAGAATATGAAATGGAACGCGTAGAATGCGATCGCGATAATATACGAGCTGGCCAAGTACGTATGTACATAGTACGAGAGCGAATGTACTCTGTACAGTCTAATTAAAGAGTAGCAGTTACAAAGCGCTTTGGCATTGTGCCGAGTATTCTCATTACTGTTTCTGTCTCTTCATAATTCGCAATTCATCCGACTAATTTTTCTCATTGTTTTTGCTTTAAAGTCACGTTCATTACATTTTGTCAACTGTGATAATTATTTCCAAAATAAATACGAATAAATTTGGTTTAAGAAAACGAAAACGAAAACGAAAACGAAAACGAAAACGAAAACGAAAACGAAAACGAAAACGAAAACGAAAACGAAAACGAAAACGAAAACGAAAACGAAAACCAAAACGAAAATGAAAATGAAAATGAAAACGAAAACGAAAACGAAAACGAAAACGAAAACGAAAACGAAAACGAAAACGAAAACGAAAAAATATACAAAGATAAAAAAGAAAAGAAAAAGAACTTTTGGAAGACATTATAGAAAATATGCTAGATTTGTCTTGACAGAAAAAAGAAAAAGAAAAACATTGAGTCTAAAACCGCATAAAAAATGGGTCACGCTTATTGACAAAACTGTGCGTCGTAGTAAGGCATTAAGATTATCATTCGTTGTTACGTTTTAATGTGTCATAGAACATGATGTTTCGTCATTATTAAAATTCTCCTCCTACGTATGTACATATTATTATTATCACTCATATATATTTAGTTTAAGACGAAAATTCGATATTTCGGAGATACCGCAAGGCATTATCATGATGAAACAAATTCGAAGGAGTGATTGTAGGGTTTATAATTATCTCGTTACACGTAGAAGGCTGAATTTACTGCAATGTTGAAAACGTCGATGTTCTTCATTAAATTGAATAATTGGAAAATAAAAGATTAAACTCCCTTAAGATAGACGATCGATTGACCTAAAATTGCTTTGTATTGTTACGATCTCGAATAAGAAGAAAGGATATTAGATAACGATATGTCTAATTCGAGATAACGAAGTACGAATAAAAGATGAAAATCGGATCGAATCGAATCGATTTAAATCAAATTTAATCTAATCTAATCGAATAACCAATCGATTTACTTTCACTCACATTTCGTGACTGAAGAAGTTCCAGCGCTGCTACCCTGTTTCTTTAAAGTGTTGCTCTTGATGAAAGTTTTGCCTCGTATATTTTTATCCGGTTGGAAGACGATAATGTAGACTTTGGGTGCGTACAGACAAACGAGGGTAACCGATGCGCTGAGACTAATAGCGACACAGAGCGTCGTGATTTGGGTCTCGTGAGCGTTTCCAGTTCCGAAATAAATGGGTACAAAGCCAAGCCAGATAATACAGGTCGTGTACATAGTGAAGCCAATGAATTTGCTTTCGTTAAAGTTTTCTGGTATCTTTCGTGTTTTTACGGCATAAACGGTGGAGACGAGGATCAGAATAGCGTTGTATAGTTGAGAGAAGAGAAAGCTCATATCTTGAATGTTACATTTCAATATGACCTGTTTGCGATCGGGATAATAATATCGCGTGCCCGGTGGCTCGACGACCATCCATATAAGAGTCAGGACGATTTGGAATGCTATCAAGGCGGCCGCTATGCAAACTTGTGAGGTTGGACTGATGTATCGAGGTCTCACTGCAGATCTCGAAGCTGCATCGAATATTCTGGCGATACGATTGGTCTTGGTAAGAAGAGCACCGTATACGGCGCTGAAACTCACGCCTACACCAAATCTTTGAAGGACACAGGTAACTGTCGTTGGTGTTACCAGTAACAGAAACGTGTTCAAATAGCAGACCAAAACGCCAGCTAAAAGAACAACGGTCAACTCTCGTCCAGAAGCACGAACTACTGGAGTGTCCCGATGTTGAAAGAGAAGACAAGCCACTGCCAAGGTTGCTGCTATCCCAAGACAAGAGATCACAGCTGGTGCTATTGCAAAGGCGCTGCTCCACTTGATATGCTTCACCGGTAAATGGTAGCAACTTTTTTTGTCTACATGAGGCCACAAGCCTGGCCCGCAATCCATGCAGGTATACTCATCGTACACGAACTCGTACTCTTCGCACTGATCGCACACCCAGCAACAAGTGTCACCCTGTTGCTTCTTTATCATACCTGATTCGCAGGGTAAAGAGCATGCTGAGATCGGTATGTCTTTTGTTCCTCGTGCCCATACCATCTCGTCCGTCTTAATATCCAAGGAGTTGTACCATTTGCCTACGACCTGAAATCTTTTGCGTTTTTATTTTCTCCCTCTTTCTCTCTCTCTCTCTCTTTCTCCCTTTTTCTCTCTCTCTCTCTCTTTTATATATATATATAACTTCCAACATGTTTTTCTTTCAAATCCTTTTATAAGATACGTGCAATTTATAGTAAATCGGATATATGATATTGAGATAGCTATATTTTTTCGAGATCCAATAACGTTAAATGGTCAGATAGCTATCTGTTTCTCTCTTTCTTTTTATCTTTTTAAATTCAGAAATGCAAATATTAGATTTTACATCCCATTGCAATCATAAATTTATCTTCTTTAGAGAATATTTTATTTGAATAAGAATAAAAACAAATAGAAAATAAAAAAAATTAAAAAAAAGGATTAACATATGGAATAAAACGTGGACAAGTTTTGATCCGATGTCTCACATACAAAGATATTACAGAAAGTTTGTACTATAAAATATGCAAATAAAAAGGATTTTCACGCTTTCAACATCACGTTTTATTAATGAAGCTTGATTGTTCTCTGAAAAATCGCTTAAGGGCTAGCTAGCTAAGTATATTTCCGAGAATATGACTAATAGGAAAAAAGAAGAAAATTTCTTTCATGCTCTAATAAATATCTTCGTTTATACGCTTTTATGAAATATTTATTTCAACTTTAGTAGCATGTAACTATAAATTAATTGATGCTAATTCAATAAAATAGTCGACGATTGTTGGCTAACCGGACTACGTACGGTTTTAACGGAACAAGAATTTATATTTGCCGTGAAAGGAGAAGAGATTTGATATAATTAAATGATTCATCGTTGTTCACGATAAGACGAAATATTAATTAGGCATATTTAGAAGTTATAATTTGTCGAAAAGAATAAAAATTCATAAAAAAATATAAATTGAGAGGGAAAATAAAAGAAAAGAAAAGAAAAGAAAAGAAAAGAAAAGAAATGAAAAGAAAAGAAAAAGAAAGAAAGAGAGAGAGAGAGAGAGAGAGAGAGAGAGAGAGAGAGACAGACAGAGAGACGATTTGTGGAAAGTTTCCAACGGAGACAATAAGAGAGGATAATAGCTTTCGTGTCAGTTCGAACGCGAACTTTTACAAAAGTAATTCGAAGAAAGCGAATTAAACGGAGGTTCTACAAATGCGATTTTTCTTTTTTGCGGATTTTCACGAACGTTAATTAATTGTGAGGAAAAAAGGAAGGAGTGATATCTGAGAGGAAACTCGTTTCTCTCCTCTCCTTTTTTCCCCTTCTTTTTTATTTTGTTCTTTTCTTTTTCTTTGTTTTATTGTCTGTTTCTCTTATCATCTTTGTACTTGCCCGATAATGATAGCCATCGGTACCGCTGAGATTCGACTTTCGGAAATTCAGGATTTCGTATCTTGCCAGACCGTCACCGTGTTCGTCGAATTTCACCTCGCTGCCTGCGGCGTCTGGAAAATGACTGAAAATCTGAATACCTTCGAGGCTTGGCCCGTGAAATGGCACGTAATATCGCGAAGATACACTCGGTGAAGCTGCAACGAATGGGTTTTGAAAATATATCGGTTAGGAGCGACGTGAAAAGCGGTTATCCTTTTCCAAGAACCTTCAGTAGAGATAACTGCCGCCAAGAGTTTCCTTTTCGAATTTTGTTTTCGAAGAAAATGCATATTGTTTGTTCTGAATTTTTGCTCTTACAGTTTTGTTCTAATAGAATATCTCGTCCGTTGGAGTACGTCCTAATCTTAATCATCTAATTCCGATTTAAACAATGTGATTTAGAAAATTGCATAATTTAACAGACTTTTTCCTTTTCAATGTCATGTTAATTTTTTCAACAATAACATTTTGCAACCGATAACAGTATTTTTCTCTCAGAAATAATAAAACAAATCAGTAGGGGATAGTTTTATTGAAAAATTTACTAATTATGTACAGATTTATATGAAATATCAAAAGTAGGAAAAAGTCAACTCAGAATTGGTTGAAAAGAAATTAAGAAACTAATTATAGTGCAAAGGGTTGAATAGTTACAAGTATGTGGCATTTACTTACTATAAAAAAATCGAAATATTTTAATCGTAGATAATGAAGCAAAATCTAATCAATAAAATATAGTTATTAAATGTTCTAATTCTTCTAGAAAAAAAAGATTGTATTTTTCATCGACACCATATCGTTGGAGACATAAAAAGACTTAAGTTTTTTTTTTTTCAAACAGTTAAGATAGATTAAATGACTTTAACAGATTTAAAAGTGATAAGATGATCTTCGAAAATAATGGAAACATATTCTTTTCGTCGATACTCTCTCTTCGTGAATTTACATTCGACTTAGATCATCGTTTTATTACTCGGTACATCGAGTACTGAGAACAGAGAGATACGAAGGAATACTTGCGCAAATCGATAAGAATTTGCTAATGCATATAGCTACGACAAATAGGATATGACGAATTGGTGGTTAATCGCACGCGATGAATGCGCATACACGGAAAATGTCTAATTATTGAGACTACGAACATTCTATAAGTCTTGATGGCCTTATTGATTCGTTTCTTATTGTCGAACAATGTCTTATCTTTCACGAATCGAATGCATGTGCTACGACCTTCGATCTTCTTTGTAAATGAAGATTGATAACATACGCTTGGTATTATTATAGTAATGTATTTTATTTTACGCTATTTTCGACTATTAAAGAAATAAAGAACAAAAAGAAAATGAAAGAAAGAAAGAAAATTTCATTTAATCCCTTTATTAGAAATATTATAATTATCAATTAATATTGTGACGAAAAAATGAAATAAGATCAGAAATACAAATATATAAGTGTATGTCTTTAAAATTATATGGGTTTATGGCGAAGAATCAATGGAAAAGATGAAAATCACGTGTGTTCTTTTGGACGATTTGTACGATTCCATTGTATGATTCTGATGAAGAAAAAAGAAATCATAATAATAGTAATAATAATAATAATAATAAAGTTTATAGAATACATTGATCAAAAAAGACACGATCGTCTTCGATGGCTCATGGAGTATTCCCTTTATTCGAAAATATCATCGAGAGATCTTCCTGTTCAGTGACCTAAATAGACGGACATCGCGTAACGTAATTTCCTCGTTCTATTGTATTATCCGTGAAGCTAATATAATAGCGAGCGAGTCACGCTATGGGAGTCAAAGTAAATCGTCGCTTACTAATTAATCGGTGTGAAATGATTGGCTGAATTATGTATACCGTACATAGGTATACATTTCTACCTATTCTTCGATTAATCGATTGATCGATCGATTGACACGTTTCTCTTCTAATTCCTCGATTATCTTATATAATTGTAACGAGTGATAAAAAATATAATTTTCAAACCACCTGTCTATACAATTGACATCATCGATCTATTGATAATATCGAAATTTTCTTAAAAAACGATTACAATTTTAAGTAAATATTTTTTACAAATGACATTCAAGATATTGTCGCAATTCATATTTGATATACATGAATATATTAATCTTTAATTTATCCTCAAATATTTTTTCCCCCTGACAAACATTTATTTGGAAAAAAAAGAAAAGAAAAAACATAGCTTAACATCGTCCATTTAACATTTATTCGTAACCTAAATACTAAATATTAAAGAAAAACTTTACAGTTCATTCCCTTTGTAACTGTATTTAAGTAGGAAGAAACATAGATATTAAGAAGATCCATCTATTCGCGAAGGAGATTACTGAGATTGAAGTTTAATAATAATAATATGAATTTCAACGCGGTTATCGAATCGGGAAAGAGATCAAAGAAAAGAGACTCCACGGAGAAAGTTCGTATTCCCTTTATCACTGAAAGTACCTGCAACGGCGTGACCTTAATATTTGAGCCGACGTTCTAGGCTGCTGCTAGCCTAAAAACGCAGCCGGCGAGGAATAAATGCGAGAGCCATTATCTCCTGCGCATTTCGTGCGATATCGTCGCGTGTACGTTCGTGACACGAATCGATAATGGTACGCCCGTCGGATGAATCCGATTCAATTCGAAATATTCCGTTTAATAATACACGTATCATCTCATCGCGAACTCATAGAATCAACAAAAGTTCTACTTCCTCCTATCTAAAAACAGTCCCCATTCCCAAATCCCTACCACCACCCTCTTCCTTCCCCATCCCACAGTTTCTTTTCATTTGATCTTCTCACTCAAGAAATAAATTCGAACATGCTATAAATATTTCTGTTGTGTGATGCGTCTATTTGTCGAAGTTCTGACCTCGATAAATGTTTTTCTTAATCTAACCTCATCCTGGACTGTACCTTTCCCCTTATGACATATGGATTCTACTCCGTCTACGATAATTTCCATTTGTATCTAGAATATTTCCTTTAAAGACTTTATATCTTCAAGGATAAAATGATCGATTACTAACGCAAAAGAAACTCGAGGGATACCCAACTATGTATACGTTCGCTTGTCTCTCTCGCACGTGATCGATCGATCTTTCATTGTTTTTTATGATTTTCGAACTATCGGTAATAGAACGCATTATTGTAATATAAGTTAAATGCAAATCGGTGTCACGTTGATTCGACTTAGAAAATTTCATTCGAAAATATATTTATCCTTCTTACTTATCCTTGACTAAATGTCATTTTATCGGAAGGAAAAGAAAAAAAAGAAAAAAAAAGGTAACTTCGCTGAACTAAATGCTTCCGATCGATAGTAGTCGCCGTTCTGTTATATACAGTCAGTCGCAGAAATATTCGGACACTTTTTTTTGATCGAATAATTTTTTCTATATTAAATTTTCAAAGAATTTTGACATTTAGTAGGAAGTATGCGAAGAATTGAACGTTCTATTTTCAACGTTTTTTATCAAGTATTTTCCGCTGAAAAAAAGAAAAAAATTCTTTCACATCGATTGATCTTGTCTTACATTGATATAGCACGTATAATTAAAATCGAGCAATCGATAAGAAAATTGAGAATTTCTAACAATCTTTCCATTCTCATTTTTATATCCGATTGTGTAAATTCTCGGGAATTTATACAATCGAACGTTCAGTTTACTGCATATGAACCTAGTAAATAGTCGTTGCTTTTCTCGGTCGCATAATAGCAAGAAATGAATTTGATTTACGTTAGAAAGGATGATCGTTTCGTAGTATTCGAATATATAAACTACGTTCATATATACGATATGTTTTATTATAGATAAGAGTTAGATCAACGTGACACGAAATATCGATCAAGACCCATTCGTTCGAATAAGAAAATAAATAAAAAGAAAAAGAAAAAATAATAAAGAAATATAAAAATCGAATTTACCTTTGAAGGAAACGTTCAAAAGATAATCTCTGTAGAAAGCACCGCGATCGTAATTAGCCATCGCAGGACAGACTCCTTTCTTACCACAGAGATCACTTTGAAGATTATGAAGAGCCAATGCAAACGCATAAACAGCATCAACAACGAATTGGACTTTAGATTCTTGTTCGTATCCTCTGCTTGGTGTCAATCTAAATTCAGGATTACAAATCTTCCTCGCACCATTTGTTGATGAAATCGTAGTATGTGCCTGATGTTGAGACTTAGTGTTTTTCTTTAAATCGCAACTAAAAACTTCTTCCCAATATTCGGCGAACCAAGGATTCCTATGATTGTTTTCTGGCGTTAAGTTTGCCATATACTCGTCGAATTCTGGAATATTTTTTGATTGAAGTTCAACGGTAATCGCTCCTTCGGCTTCTTCCTCTAAACCTTCGACGAGCTTTATTTGTCTGCCCCAACCATCACTGGCTAACCACTGAAATGGTTGACTGAGGTTCGATCTCCTCGTTGCTTCGAGAATTCCTCGCGCATCTTCGGCTCGAGTGAAGAGGACTACTGCTCGAGCATTCGACTTCTTTATCAATCTCTGAATAATATCGTCGAAGATCTTGTCGTTTGCTGCACTCGGTACCTTTACTGCTGCTGCTATGCAAACATTTCTCTCGATTGCTTCACGCGTGAACACTTCGATCCCATATTCGCCGTAGCTACCCTCTGAATAGACGGTCGATACGTAAGACCAGTTAGCGCTCTTCACTACATCGACCAAAGCAATCGACTGGAATGTATCTGGTGGTACTGTCCTTGCAAAATAATCGAACCTGTACAAGAAGAAAATTTATACGTAACTATAACAAATATTTATATTCAACCTATCAACACGATTTATAGCATGTCATATATATGTATGTGTACACGTACCTACATCATAATAATTCATACACCTAATTCATATAAATTAAAAATAAAAAGGCTTGAAAATCATTAAAACTTATATATTATCCTATACATCATTTTGAAAACTACAAAAATGTGTTCATCGTCAAAACTTTAATTAGAATAGATTTCTGGAGCATTGATTATGTAGTCCTTTTTTTCTTTTTTTTTTTCTTTAATTTTAATAATACCAGGATTTAAAACGTTTCACTGAAATGTAATAAAAGTCGTAAAGCTCAATTTACCAAGAGCATCCCATGAGAAATCAAATAAATCAATGCGGCTTTCGTTTGAGGAAAATAAAAATCACTAACCTCTGAGAATCAAAATAGTATATCATCTTAATGATCAACACATGCGGAAAGTATCAACGGTCTACACGCAATTCCGTTCGATGTCTCGAGGGTTGACGTCGAAGTTTCTCCGGAGAGATCTATAATCGAGCCCTTGGGACAAATTGGGTTACGCAGGATACAGATAGAAACCAGTATCTCTGCCAATCGATATACACCGATGATACTCTCGATTTCAGAGAAAAAGAGTCGTTTGTAAGAACGCAAGTTTGCAAGCAATATCGTGATTCTAAGAGGGAAGACCTTTCCCGGGTATATTTTTTTTCCTTTTCGTCAAAAAAGACGACATTACAAATTTTTTATGCTGACGAGCTGCTTAGATCTAATAATATCCTTCGTCGAACAATTAATGACTTTTCTTTTATTCTTTCATATTTTGCGGATAACAAAAAAATTACTTGGAAATAGAGAAAGAGAATAGAGAAAGAAAAAAAAAAGAAAAATTAGACAAAAAAAGAAAATATGACAGAAAGTATAAAAGAGAAGGAATAGTAAAAATAGAGAAAAAATATTACAAAAGATATGTATATACGAATAAAAATAAGTGAGAAAAAAAACGATGATAAAAATGGGTACGAAGAGAAAATCTTCACCTTTTATACATGAAAACACATGCATACATTTTCGTCTAACTAAATACTTCTTGGTTAATTGAAAATTTTTTTCTTTTCTTTCTTACTGCTACATATTTAAATATTACTAGTGACATATATATATATCTTTCTCTCTTCTCTTAACTATTCGTTTCGAGACAAAAACCGGTAGAAGTACAAACGGAATAAAAACAAATGGAAAAGTTAAAAGAAAAGCTTTTTTAAAGGATACCTAATGAAACCGAAAGCAATATCAACGTTACAAAAGCAGCCTTTTCGGGGCTTGCGTTAAGATGAAAATGACAACACAGTGTGCTCCAATTGAGTACAAAGTATAGAAAAAGAATATAACTGAACTGAAGTATATAGTTATTCTTATTTCTATTGTGCTACTACCATTACTACTATTAATACAACTAAATGCAAAAACAAGTACCAAATTTCAATTTCATCCTCTCTCGATCAAGTGAATTCCTAAACATAATCTTGAACGATTGAAAGGTAACATTGAAAGACAACTTCACCGATTTACTATGTAGCTTCCTGATCACTTACCACGATTCAAGAGAATCCTTTGAAAGAATATTTGTTGTTAGTATCATTTTCTAATAAGAACTGTAACTTCGTGCGAATGTTTGACACATTATGCAATCCTTTCTAAAATAAAGTTACGCAATAGTAGAAGTGACTCTTTCTTTCTCTTTGAAATTGTCCACGGAACACGTAACTGTTTGTAATTAGTTCGAAAGTTTTACAAATCGAGCAATTACAAGATCTTTTTCGTTTTTAAAGACACGAACATATGTACCGAATAAAACGAAAATTTTTACCGGATAATTATTTCTGAAACTATTTGAAATACCCAAAAATTTTAATTCTCGATCATATAAAAGTCTAAATGTGTATATATAAGTGTGAACGCGCTTGCGTGCGTGTGTGCGTACATGTGCATTCACTTTACCATTAAAACAGATTATAGAATTAATTTGAAATTTATATCGAAAATAAAATTACTTTCAACAAAATATTCGATTCGATTCCTGCTTTTAAAAAATAGCAGTGCTTTCAAGTATTTACAAATTTGACAAAAATCGTATGCATTCGATGGAAAACGTTCAAACTCTAAAAATATATTTAAAAAAAAAAAAAGAAAAAAAAAACAGTTTTAGGCATATTATGAATTTTTTAGAAATTTTATATTAAAAATAGTGAGATAAATATTAGAATTATATGTAATATATTTCTTCCTACATATACTTCTAAATACATGCAGTGATTCATACGTATTTCTATAAAAACACATGTCATTTTCACAGTCTAGATGATTAAGTGAATTATTTTGAAATTCATACCAAAAATCAATATACCAAATATATCAAATATATGTTATGAAGATTTACAAATAATTACAATTCAATCCAATTATCTTAATAATAATAATTACATTTCAATGAAAAATTGAAAGATTTATAACTAATTATATATGTGATAGAAAAGATAGAAATTGTGCAAAAATATTTAAAATATTGGTAGCTATTAACGCAAATAGCATCGAAGACATGCCTATTGCAAAAATATGAAAATATTCGATCACACGGAACTGGTGATATTTTTTTACCCTCTATAACTCAATTTAGTTCTTTTAGTTATATCTAAGAGAAGACATGATATTATATAACATAAAATTTATATATTAACATTAAAATTATATATTAACATAAATATAACCTTAGGATATATGAATTATCAATTAATTTTGTGGAAAAAAGAAAAATGAAGTAAAAGAAAAAATATATACGAGTTACATAATCTCATCAAGGGTTAATGTATAGGTGGAAAGAAAAGAATATTGAAAACTGATCTCATCATCTTCTTCTTATTTATTCTCGTAGTATTATAAATAAAAGAAAGAGATAATGTAAAAAAAAACAAACCTGGTTTTGTCACTAAGAGCCTTGGCCGTGGATGCTGGTGATATTTGTGGTATGTGAAAGAGGCGCAACAGATTGGCAACCTGAAGCGATACAGAACTGTAGGATCCACCGATGACGCCAAAGATCGGTCCAGCACTAGCTGTCTTCTTTACTCTGGGCGTTGATCGATCTGCACACTCGAACACGCTTATATCCAAATTTGAAAGTGAAGCGCGAACGAAGTGTAGACTCTGATTGAGAGCGTAGGTGTCTCTTCCACAAGTGTCCAGGATGTGTACACCCAACATGATGTCCGGCAATATCCTGGTCTCTCTGTTGATTTGATCGACCGCAAAGAGCATTGCCTCGAGCCGTTGAACGCCACGATTGTAGACGTTTGGTCCGCAAGCGGAACCGCCTTTCTCGTGGACGGGAAACAGACCACCGAGAACGATATCTCCTGGTATCAAAACGGACTCCCTTTCACTGTGTATTCGAGATCGACTGATCGACGGTAACTGCTGAAGCGTCATCAAAAGGATCAACGTGTGTAATAAAGAGCGTCTCATTTTGACGAGAATAAGAAAACATCGAGCGCTACTTTTCCGAATCGAATGAAGATCGCATCTTTTATATTAGCTTATTCTCTTTCGATCGATTATGTATTCGTTGCTTTCTTTTAAGATTAACATTTAACTTTTCTAACATTCATAATGGTCATTATCGTTATTTTCAACGTTTTTAGGCCTTTCCACGTTTTACAACTCGTAGGCATCTCCTTCGTTTATTCACTTATCGAATAAAAGTTCAAAAAGTTGTTAGGCGAGACACTTCAAAGACACATGTCGAATATCTTGAAATCTTCGTTGAAGAATTTATATCCTTCGATCGATCTCGAAACATTTTCCTTCCATTCTAAGCGGAGGCAAAGAACGATCAGAACTAGAGATCATCCTGTTTATTCGTTAGTTCGTACTCTTCCGTCAAGATTGCGCAGTCAATTTTCTTTTAAAATAGATCGAAAGTCACGCAAGATGCCGCCTCAACTGGCGTATCTTAAAATTAAACGTTCTTCCGTTATCTTATCTTCTATTGAAAAATGTTAATTTGTCGATCATTATAAACATCTTCCATTGATTAAATAAATAAATACAAAGCGTTGTTATCGATCGATAAATCCTGATCGAGAGATAGCTCGTTCGTGAAACTTCAAATCTGATGTACGAAGCTTATATAGGTCGTGGATGCATTAGCTATATCCAAGTTTCCAATCACAGGGCGGAAGTTGTCCGCAAAATTATTCATCTAAAAGCCGGATATGCGGAGCCGATACGTTCGACGAAGAACGACGTTGTTAACTTGCCGATCGCTTCTCGAAAGCTTCAAGCATGAAACTCGATTGCTGTTGAAACAGCGCCATCACTGTTGAACCATCGTTTGCCACAAATTTTCTATCGATCTCGATCACAAACTGATTGGATCAATTGCCATTCGAACTAGCCCTATACAGAACTAAATCTTTCTTGTTTCTAAAAACTCGAGATACGATATTTTCCTCAACTTTCTTTCTCGATGATTCAGGTTCTCGTTCACGATCCATGCATTCTTCATTCAACTCCGGACGTCTAATTTGCAAGCAACCTCGGCATTTCCGTCGTCGCCGGAACTTTTGCTTTTTCTTCTACTTCTTCTTTCTTCTCTAGAGTCCGAAGGAGCCGTCCTTTCCTTCCTCTCTTTGTATCACTACCCTTACTTCTCGAAACTACGTCCTCTTCCTCCAAATAAAACTTTTCCAGAAATGTTGAACTTTTATCCAAAGTCGGACCATCCGTTCAATGTCATATGGTTCTCTTCAATTCACCAAGGAAATGTGTTTCTCCTTAGTTTAGTTTCGTTTCCGACCTCCCTTTCTTTTTTCTCTCTCTCTTTCTCTCTCTTTTTCTTTCTTTATCTTTTTATATATATACATATATACATACATACATACATACATACATATATACATGCATATATATATATATATATATATATATATATATATATATATATATATTGATCAAAAAGTGTTGCTTTCTCGGATAGCTCGACGAACCGACCCGTTTTCTTTGACAGAAAGCTTGAAACAGCGAAGTGGTGTTCTCTTCTTTCCTTCACTTCCCTATTTCTCTTTTTCTTTCCCTTTTACCTCCAGCCTTTATTTTCCTGCTCTCTCCTTTACGCTGCAATGGATTCGAATTTCCGCGATACGTTTCAGCACTTCCTTTTTTAGCGTGCTTTCCTCCTCCTTCGATGCTTCCTTCCACGACTTTTTCGATGTTCCCTTCATCGCAAATATCGCTTTTAACTCCCAACCCTAATTTCTTTTCGTCTGAACGAAAAACAGTAACATCGCAAGGTCCCTGGTTGTGGTCCTTTTACTGATGCTTCTCCTCTTGATATTCGATCACTGCAAAGCCCTTTTTCGATTTCGTTTCTTTCTCTTCTCTCTCTCTCTCTCTCTCTCTCTCTCTCTCTCTTTCTCTCTCTTTCTCTCTCTTTCTCTTTCTCTCTCTCTCTCTTTCTTTCTCTTTTTCTTTTCAGCACACGACCTCTTCAAATGAGCGACACTTTACTAAATGAGTTCTAATTCGTGTCACGCTCCCTGTGATCCTTCAAACTCGGATTTTACTAACTTAACGTGCTCGAGCCACTTCGAGCTCAGCTCGAATCCTAAACGAAATATAGCTACGTATACTGAACAATTTTTTCTTACAGTGCTCGCCGTATTAATGGTACTCGCCTCTTTCTCGTTGAAAGAAATTTTCGTCCTGACGAAATTATTCGACTAGGAGCAAATTCTTGGGATGACGATAATAATAATAGTAATGATGATAATAATAATATTGATGATGATAATGCTAATAATAATAATAATAATAATTTCTCGGCAAACTCGCGGTTTTGAGATCAATCGTTAATTCCGGACTGATCAATCTTTTTTTTGATCGAAGTTTAAAAGCTCAAAGCAGAAGAAAGGGAAATGGTGATGCGAGAATGAAACAAGACAACGAGGATCGATAATCGTCGATCGGTTTCCTTCTCGCTGCTCACAAATTGATGTTATCCTGTTGAGATATTTCTTTCTTGGTCTGGTTCTCATCCTTCAAATTTCCGGCTAATCCTGACGATAGCCGGGAAACTAACGTTCTTCTTTTCTTTCTCCTCCTTCTTTTTTTCTTCTCCAACAAACGTTCGAACGACGCAACGCAATGTATGTGTATACATATCTATATATATATTTATATATATATTTACATATATATTTATGTATATATAATATATATATAAATTTATATATATATAAATTACTATTATTATATATATATTTAATTATATTAAATAATTAAATTATATAAATTATATATATAAATTACATATATATATAAATATATATATATATATATATATATATATATATCGATCTTTCTTTTTCTCTCACTCCAACTTATCCTTGGTCCAGTCACGAGAGAATCGTCGAGTATCGAGTGTCCTGACACACATTCCTCTTCGATGTTGCTACTCCCCTCTTCCTGCCTTTTTTATTTCTATTTTCTTTTTTTCTCCCACTTTCTCTTCCTCCCTCTCTCTCTCTCTATTCTCCCTCCTCTCTGAATCTGTGTTTCAACAAAAACAAATCAATATCACGTCACGATGTTGAACTTCCTCGTGGTTCACTGGCAACTTGTTATTTTCCCACGCAAGGAGAAAGAGAGAAAGAAGTCCTTTCAGACCTTCTCTTCTTTCCTCTTTTCACCTCCAGTAAGAGAAGGAGAAAGGGAGAGAAGAAAAGAGAGAAAGAAAGAAAGAGAAAACTTCTTTCCGAAGATAAAAGTCTCACATCCGTATCAGCTCTCGTTCAATCCGCTAAATTACCAGCTAAAAATTCAAGCTTGAAAATCGATGCTCGTTACTGCGATATTTTCTTCCAAAAAGAAAAAGGAGAGTAAAAAAGAAATCTATATATATATATATATATATATATATATATATATATATATATATTTGTGCGTGTGTGTGCGTGTGCGCGCGTGCGTGCATGTATACATATGTATGTATAACATTATATGTATATATATATATATATATATATATAAAGAGAACGATATATTTTAATCGTGCTACTTTTGAAGAGTCTCGGAACACGCACGTGTATGCATATGAAATTCATCTATTTCTTCTTCGAGATATGTACATACATTACAATAAGAAAGTGAGAAGAGCGTATCGTGGGGCGTGAGAAGAGTGAATGAAAGTTCGAAGGTTGAAAAGAAGAGAGAGAGAGAGAGAGAGAGAGAGAGAGAGAGAGAGAGAGAGAGAGAAAAGGGCGATAACCACAAAAGCGAATTTCTAACATGCGGTACTTGATTCACGCTCTTTACCAACGTCCAACTTCTTTTCTAAAAAACACCATTCACCTCTATCCTCCAGTTTCTTTTGCTAAAATCTCGCACCCTTTCCTTCTCTTTTTCTCTCTCTTTCTTTGAAGGGTGGACGTTCAAAGACTCGGGCACGAAAATTGCTGACTGACCTAAATAACGCGTTCCCTTTTCATCCATCTCTTTCCTCACTCTTTCCCTTTTTATCTCTTTTTCTCTCTCCCTCATTATCTCTCTTTCTCTCTCTCTTTCCTTTATTTTTGTTCTTCTCTTTCATTCATATGTCAGAGATACATAATATTTTCTGTTGCCTAATAGATCCACACACGCACGAAATCACGCACCTTAAGATAGAAGAAGAAAAATGGATCGTCGAACGAACACACGCACCCACGCATGCAGAGATTGGAGGCTAACTGTGATTTGCTCCGCCTCTCTCTCTCGCTCTCTCTCTCTCTCTCTCTTTCTATTTCGCTTTTTCTTTCTCTCTTTTTTTCTCTCCCTATCTATCTATCTATCTATCTATCTTACTCCAAAAATGAAAGTCGAAATAACGAGCTTCGACGATAGCATGTTGGAATATGATACGTATCGAATCGATAATCTCGACGATGCTTGCGCGAGATGACTCGATGCTCGGAAAAACAAGTTACTCTCTTCCTTTATATATATGTATATGTATATATATATATATATATATATATATATATATATATATAATATATGTATATATATCTTTTTTTGCTCGCTCTGTTTTCTATGTTTACCAAGCAAGCTGTCGCGAAAAGTAATCGCGCAATTGCCGTGCAACTGCAGCCTCCGCGGAGATCATCCCTCTTTCTTTCTCTCCGTCTCTGTCTCTCTCTCTGTCTCTCTCTCTCTCTCTCTCTCTCTCTCTCTCTCTCTCTCTCACTCTTTCACGTAGGCGTGGACTCGAGAATCAGCAACCGAGATCGCGAGAAAATAAGATCGATTTAAAAAGATAGAGAGACGTTGTTTTCTTCTCGTCGCGTTATCCTCTCTCTTCCTCTTCTTTTTCCTTGTTCTCCTTGTCCTGTCTCCTCCTAAACGGCGACAGTAGAGGAGAGGGTGGCTGTTCGATGAGACTCATCGACCGTCCATCGAGGTGTTTCATCCCTCGTGATTTCGACGATCCGTCCTCGAAAATTGTCGATAGGACGAACCAAAGGACCGTTGTTTGAAAACATCGTTGTTCAGGGAAGAGAACGGATAAGCGACGATCTCCAAGTTGCCGCCACAGCACGACTGGCCGGCCGGCCTTTCCTACCCTCTTGCCCCTTTTCCATTCCCCACTACTTCTCTATCCTCTTGCCTACCCTCTCAGCTACCCTTTCGGCTACCCTCGTCACTCTCGACGCTATTTTATCCCCCCTCTCTCTCTCTCTCTTTCTCTCTCTCTTTTTCTCTCCTCTCTCTTTCCTCTTCTTTTTCTCTCTCTTTCTTTTCTCTATCCTCTCTTTTCTCTCTTTCTTCTCTTTCTTTCTCTCTCTCTTTTACTCGTTCTCTATCGCAGTACCAAGCTCACTCTCGCGCCACTGTTTCGCGCTTCTATCCCCACTCTATTCTCTAAGCTACTCTACCCCCTCTTATCGCCACCACCGCCATCACTACCACTACTACCTCCGAGTGCCAGTGCCACCCAATGTATACTTCGACATTCGCACGAACGATAGGTTAAACGCCGTGACGTGCTTCACCGTCGAAGAAGACCCTTCTCTCTTCCTCCTTTTATCCTCGTTCACTCGTTTATTCACTCGCGCTTCTTTAGTTCCAGTAAGTGCAAGGATAAACGTTTGTGCCGTGGCGAGAACGATATCTTATCGTAACTTCAAACCTGTTGTTGTTACAACCTTTCCTCTTCTTCTGCTACAAACAATAAGAAAAGAAAAAAATAGAATGAATAAGATCAAGGGTTGTATCAGTCCTTTTAAAGGTTTCCAGACTTGACAATTTTATCGGATGTTACTTTACGTCCAAAATATTTGCCTGGATCAATCGGAATGGACTTAACTATTTGTAGTAGATACGATCCATCGAATATCGATCCATTGAACTTAATTTAACGAAACTAGGCAGCCCTATCGGAATTTATCATGCGATAGGACAGAAATATTCCAGGATCCTTTTCGAAACGTCCGTTTCATATTCCTTCTTTCAAAAGATATTTAAAATTATATAAGAAATTGAAAATTCGTTCCTAGCTATACTATCTAAATAGGAAAAAGGGATTCGCGTATTTATATATCATATTTTTTTTTTTTGAGTTTTAAAATACAGATATGTGGAATTCTTTTTGTCATTGAATTGAAAGTGTTCCATTATTGTGTTTTATTCTTTTTTCAGCCTTTGATTTCTTTGAAGGAAAATTTTTCGTATTTTTAGCATCGATTTTCGAGTACGACGCTTTGACGTCAGCATATCCAAACGCGAAGCGAGTTCCTTCATTGACATTTGAAAAAAGAAATTCCACTCGGCTCATCCTTAAAAGCTCTGGTATATTTTTCTTCTTCTCCAAGTGCTTCTCTACGTTCCTTTTTCTTTATTGTTTTTTTTTCTTTTCTTTTCTTTCATTTCCTTTTATTTTCCGTCAAAGTTCTCTTCATTCTCGAGCATATCCTCGCTTCTATAAAATAACCATAGAATCATTAGAATCGTTCTTATTATACGTTCGACTTTGCTGCCTTTGATCTGATCATATGACTTAAATATTTCTAGTATTTTAATCCGAAAAGAAAAGAAAAGAACAAAAAAGAAAGAAGAAATCTCTTTGCATCGAAACGATATGAAAAATGATTCCAATATGGCGTCCTCAAATTCTTTTATCGTACATGTAAAGTGTGTGTATCGGTGTAAGTAAGCTACTTCAAAAGCGAATATCGTTCTTGAAAAGGAGAAATTAGAATTATGCAATACTGAAGTTTGTAATTATTTCAAAAGAGTAAAAATTAAATACACAAAGTTTCATTTATAATTAGGCATGTATGCACAAAGAGATAGATAAACAAAAATGTCTTGATCGTTATGCATATTTAAAAATGTAATGTAAATTCGCACATTTAAAAATACATTTTTATTGTACGAATATTTAAGTCTCTCCACTGTTATGTACATGTCCATATATGTACGCGCGCATATGTACGATGGTTCATACATATTTTTAATTTTACTCATTCGTTCATCATTATACAAAACAAATTTGTCGGTGCAACTGAGTACATTTTGCATACGCAATTCAACAGACTTATCTATTCATTCACATCTTTTATATACCTTTTATATGTAAATATAAAATAAAAGATATATGTTGATCTCGAATTTCTAAAATGTTCAATTACGAATAACTATACTTGAAGTTTTTCTAATGGTACCGTTAAATATTATTGCCCATTAAAATTTTAGATTATATCTACAAGGTACTTTTACTATTTACGATCTTATGCCGGAATATTTTCATTACAAAGCTACAGCTCTATTGTTTAAGAAGTAAACCTTTCCTAGCTTATTTTATTATACTACATCAACAAATATCAAATATAAACGAAAGATAAAGCTCAAATCTATGAGCAAAATAAATTTCAATGCAATAGGATATTTATGCCTACGTATAAGTATACTTATAAATTATAACGAATACAAAGGCGAGCAGAAAAATTGTTATAACTGAATTAGCACGATTTATCTTTTCTCTCTCTTTCTTTCTCTTTCTTTCTCTCTCTCTCTCTCTCTCTCTCTCTCTCTCTCTCTCTCCCTCTCTCAATTTACTTATATATAAAAGATAAGTACAAAATTGATTCCGAAAATATAGACAATTGAAAAGTAAGACGGATATTGTCTATTTTTAATTTTGATACGTCATTGATGCCGTCCGTTGTATATTTTTATAGTATAAATTTTCTAAAATGTTTACGTATTCAGACGCACACATACGTATGCATAGATGCATATGCATAGAATTTCTATTGTGATATTTATTAAACGGGGGTTAACTAATATAGCCTTCGAGCTTTTAATAAAGACGGTCGTCCATTGTCGCGAAGATCGACATGGGCACGATGAAGACGATTATTGTCCGCATGATTATACCGTTCCATTTCCTTCCATCAATCTCCTTCACCGTGTAATGTCTCGTATAAAGCTGATTCATATTTCGCATCAGCCGCGGTGCACAATGCGAAATTTAGAACGAGCACGAACGTAGGTAATCAATGAGGTAGATGTGAAAGAGAGAAATAGGAAAACAATGGGAGAGAAAGAGAGAAAGAGAAAGAGAGAAAAAGAAAGAGAGAGAAAGAAAGAGAGAGAGAGAGAGAGAGAAAGAGAGATTCTGATGAGAAGCTTACCGGATATTTCGTGACAAGAGGCACATGGTAATTCTAGAATCGTCTCGTCAGCGACGACCAAAGTAAGTAGCACTTACTTATATACGTAAAATTAGCAATGTGCGAGCAAACATGAAGAACTCATATCGTTTGCTTAACGTTAACATCGTGTTTTTTCAAAATCTTTTATCAACAAGCAGAAACCTTCGATCTTTTTTCCACATTCTAAGAAAACATTGATTTTTCTTCCTTTAAATATTAAAAATATTAATTAAATATATATATATATATATATATATATATATATATATATACATACATATACATATATATATATAAGCTATACTTTAAAATTCCGTCTTAAGAAATTACACCGATTTATACTCCCTTTTTACGAAATCGAAAAATATAATGACATTAGAATTATATAATATATATATATATATAAACGCAAGCGCGCGGAAAGATTGATACTTATTTATAAGATTGAAGAAAAATAAAAAAAAAAATAAAAAAGAAAATAATCACATTTCCATCGAATAAGTTCTATTAGCGTCCATAAAATCGACGAAAAAAAGAAATATGTATTTATCAGCCTTCTTGGCGAGCTGCCACAAAATTGCAAATACACGTGCGTTGAGTACAAACATGTGTTATCGATGTTATCATAAAATTTATCTCACATATTAACAAATCGCATTCATATTTATTTCCGGAAGATAACGTGTTTATCTTTTACCTGTACAAATGAAAAAATAAATAAATAAATAAATAAATAAATAAATAAAACTTTGAATAAGTTATCTTCTTAATCGTTTTGAAACGTCGTTGCTAAAATAAAAAGATTATAAAGAAAATGTTGTAATCTAAGATAAGATAATAATCATAATGTTGTCGCGTAGTCATCGAAAGTGAATATCATTGAAACAATGAAGGATTTTGATATTACACATGTCTTATTATTGTAAAGCGTCCCAGAAATCCATCAGTTGCGTCAATTACGTGGCGCGCCAAATGCATTACGTCCTGTCGGTCTTTATCTCGAATGATTAACGACTTTTGGTAAAAGGATATTTCCGTAACCAAGAAAAAGGGGGTCAACGGTACGTATTTTTAAACTACGTTATATTTCTTCTTTCTCGCTACTCCCCTACCACGGCGCAAATATTTCATGAACTGCTTCGATTAATTGAGGAAAAACGGATGAAGACATATAGTTCGTCGAACTTATAAATGTTTTCCTGTTTTCTTCTTATCGAGACTAATCTTATTTTCTGTATGTTGATCATTTGTAAGATGAAGCCGAAGATATGTATTTTAAAATCAAAAATCCCGCGTTTCCTTCGTTCGGTTTGGATCGGCTTCGATTAAATATAACGAAGCTTCGATAATTTTCATATTACCTACCAGATGGCGCATAATTCGATGTAACGGACACTTTAAATTTCCACGGTTTCTTTGTAAAGAGAAGCGTTCCTTCAATCAGTGCGCTTTTGATCTGTAACTAGTGAAGCAAAGTTTTGTGTGTCTCCAATTTCATTCATATCTATGCAAGAGATTTATTTCGAAAATTCATTGTAATGGCTAAATATTGTCCACTGGATCCTATGTACTAAGAAAGATATAATAGTTCATTGTTTGAAGTAGTTTTTTCGGTATTGTATTCCTTCTACGAGCTATTATCTATATGCTAGACGCACATTGAAATAATCCTTTTACTGTTAATTTCCCTTTTGTCCTTGACAATAAAATGTCATTTTCCTTATAACAATGCGATGAAAAAGAATGGTACTTTTTATACAAATGTTAGTTGTCAGTGCTTACTAATTGAAAATGTAAATAGCTGAGTGCTAACAAGAATACAGAATAGACACGATTTTTTGGTGTGACTTATCAAAGGGCTTTGCTTCTTGGATATGAAGGGACAAGTACAAGCCGCACGGGAGAGGTTAGGTAAGTAATTGAATAGAAATTAATCGTTTACGTGATTGTTTTAACACTTGATTCATACTCGATGCGTCGATAAAAAATTGTATATTTCTTTGTTATTTTTTCAAGTAAAATCTTCAATATGACAATCAGATTTTACCAGTAATTATACATAAAAAATAAATTTTTTAATTAATTTTGAGTAATATATCGGTTACTTCTTAAAGCGATTATTAAAGCTTTCTTCATATAATGCAAGCTATGTACTTCTTAAATTCAGATAAGTAAATATATTATATTGTTCCTTAGGTGGCTTTAGCAGTAATAGCTATTATTCTAGTTCGGCAGATCATGTTTCTGATATTCAACGTATCGTCCCAATTTCCAATTATGAACTACAATTAGATGATTCTGCAGTTGTAACAGAGGTCGATAACAAAGTTAAAACAAAATTGCTCTCTATATGGAATAATGTGAAATATGGTATGTATTTAGAAAAATAGTTAAATACTATATTATATTGTTAGAAATACTATACATTTTCTTTTTATTTTTTAGGATGGACTGTAAAAATAAAAACAAACTTTTCAAAAGAATCTCCAGTATGGTTGCTCGGACAGAGATATCCCAAACAGTTGGAAGATACTCTAGAAAAAGCTTCCGAAGCTCTCTCTGGATTAGGAACTGGAAGCGAAGTGTCATTAGCAATAGATGCTGCTAGTTATGAAGAAGGAATCGAAGGATTTAAGAGAGACTTCATCTCTCGTTTATGGTTAACTTATAGAAGAGAATTTCCAAATTTAAGAGGATCTACTTTTACTACAGATTGTGGCTGGGGTTGTATGCTACGTAGCGGACAAATGATGATGGCGCAAGCATTAGTTTATCATTTTCTAGGACGAGGTATTGATTTTATTTTTATTAATATAACTTTCTTATTATAATATAAAATTTTAAATAAATATTTTCTGTACAGATTGGAGGTGGTATCCGGATCAAACAATTAAAACAGATGAACAAAAGGAAGAAGAGATGAAACATCGTATGATTATAAAATGGTTTGGAGACCAGCCAGGACCTCATTCTCCTCTTTCTATTCATAAACTAGTGTCACTTGGTGCACAATCGGGGAAACAAGTAGGAGATTGGTATGGGCCTGGGTCAGTTGCACATCTTTTAAGCCAAGCAGTAAAATCTGCGGCTGAAACTCACAGGGAATTTAGTAATTTGTGCGTCTATGTTGCTCAAGACTGTGCAGGTATATAGGATTAGATATTATATTAATAATTTTATTCTAACACTATAACCATTTATGTTTATTTCTATTTTTGTTATACAGTCTATTTGGATGATGTTAAAAAATTATGCGAAACTCCAAATGAATGTTGGAGGTCTCTTGTATTACTGGTACCTTTAAGACTTGGTACTGATAAGTTAAATCCGACTTACATACCATGTTTGACAAGGTTGTTGGAGTTAGAATTTTGTATTGGTATCATTGGTGGACGTCCTAGACATTCTCTTTATTTCATTGGTTATCAAGAAGATAAATTGATACATTTAGATCCACATTATTGTCAAGAAAGCGTAGATATGTCGAAAGAAACGTTTTCCTTATCGACATTCCATTGTACCTCGCCTAGAAAAATGGTACTTTCCAAAATGGATCCTAGTTGTTGCATTGGATTTTACATACACGATAAAAATTCCTTTGACGAATTTGTAACTAAAATCGAAAATGTAAGTTTAATTTAATAAGTATGAAAGAATGTTATTATGCAACTGTTTAATTTATAATTACACTTTTATTTTCCGCACATAAATAAACAACAAAAAATAATGAACTGATATTTAAGAATAGCTGGAAAGTAAATATTTGATATGAATTTATTTGTGCTGAGTGCCTTTTTTTTTATTATAGGTTCTGATGCCGCAAACCCAGAAAACGGATTATCCAATGTTCTTATTTTGCGAAGGAAGTGGAGAGGAATTACAAGAAAACATAGAGGTCGGAGAAAATCCATTGCCGTCGACAACGCTATTTGTACGACCCGGTGCATTCGAAGATCATTATGAGTTCGAGGAATTTGAACTCATATGTATAGAAAATAAAAGCAAATAGAAACTCAATGTACTTAAAAATACTAACAACATATTTCTTACGCAATGTACGTACTACGTTCGACATTTGTAATCCTTCGTTCATTCGTCCAATATTCGTAAGTGATAAATTCAACAATATTAGATTACTTATAAATCGAACACACATACCGTTGTGTTTTATTACATAGTTAAGTGTTATTAAGGTTTTAAAATGTAATGCGCCAAAAATTGTGGCGAATTTTTGAGAAAGATCTCATAGTATGTCATAATGGGAGACTGATGTAAATGCGTTGACTAATTATTTCTAAGCGTGGAAAAGAAGTTTAAGCCGACCATCTCTTCTGTGATGGTTACGATAACGATGCAGTGATCTTTAATAAGTATTAAACAAAGGCACAATTTTTTTTACTTTGTTACGTGATCTCAAAATCATTGCTTCCTTTTTGTTTTCGTTCTTTCTTTTTCCTTTTTTTGCAACGAAGGTAGAACTTAATTTTGTAGGAAAATTATGATTATCGAAGCTGTATTAAATATATGAGAGAATATTTATTTGTTTCGTTCATATAATATATAAGATGATATCTCACTTGCGTAGATCGCAAGTACGAATACATTTTGCTATTAATAGCAATTTGTATGCATAAGCGTTTCTCAATTTCTTGAGTAAACTGTTCCTGTAAAATACAACACAAGAAATATACATATATAACATTAGCTTCTAAGTCCACACAAGTAAATACACTTGTCTATATGTATGATATATTTGTTATATATGATTTTATTGTTTTTATCTTTTTTTTTATAGATTATTAAATAATTTCTCCAACGCCAATATTTAAAACTATTTATTTATTTATTTATTTATTCCAACATTGGGAATAATATAATTAATGATTAACAATTATTATTAAAATCAAACCATTGAATAATTTATAGCGTGTCTTTGAAGTAGTCTGATTTACAAAATGTCTAGAAAGAAGCTCTTCAATAATTGAGAGACTTTAACTTTAATGAAACTATTCCATATATTTATTTTCTATAATTCCGTTATTCGTTAATTGAATTAAAAACTGGCTTATGCCGACTCATAATAATTAATCTATGTATAGCACTAGTTTTAAGTTTTCATTAAGATTTTGCACGTATCACATTTCGGTATATAAATTAAGTAATTACGTTATGGAAAATAAATGATGTATCACGAGAGTTTGTTGATCTTTTATAATGTTGAGATAATGGTTGAGAAAGAGAAAGAGAAATTGTACGCGAGATTAGGAAACTGTGTGCATGGGATATATATACATATATATTACACTGTTGAATATATATATTCATTGGAAATGATTTGTTAAGAAGATTATAAATAAAATTGAGCATATAAACTTTATCTAATTTTTTTAATGGCACTCGTTGTGTTAATAATATTAAGTTTCTACGTAACTATAAATTTATTTTTATCATATTTCATAATAATACACAAGCGCTAAAACTTTTAATATATATATTTTCACACTTCCGTGAAAGCTTATAGAACTATATTCACCTTGCTATTTCGCTTTCTCTCCGCTTCGAGTTCCTTCCTTTGCTGAGATGGACAGCGAGCGGAAGAAGGAAGAGAGAAGAAGATTCATAACTATATATATATGGTTATGTATATATATATATATATACATTATAAATAGTTTTAATGCTATATATACATAATATATATGTGCATCAATTTGTTTACAATTAAAGCTAAAGCTTACAAAAAAGATTCTAATTTTGATGCAGTTGATAATATTTTTTTACTTGTACTTCTGTGTTTAAATCAAATTTGGTAATGTCAAGACGTACGAGATGACTTATCTCATCTTTCAGTCTATGTTATATTATTATATTATCAAATGATAAGTGACAAAAAAAAATATATATTACATCGATAATTATCAACGATATATAATATCGAAAATACAATTAATTTATCATAGATGTATGATACATGTAGATATTGGCAAATATTTACAAATGTGCGTATATTTTGTATCGAATGTAAAAATGTTAAAACGGAAACTAAACTTTTCAATGCAATTATTTAACTAAGAAGTCCCATTTTTCCTTTTCTTTCTTTCGGGTTAAGAAATATTATAAAAATTGTTTAACACATTCCTTGATCGAAGGCCATATGTCATCGGTGGTGTCACCTCGAAAATTCTTAAGTATTCCAAGGTTACAATAAAAATCTACCACCGGTTTGGTCTTTGCAGAATATTCTTCTAATCTTCTATGCACTACTTCCGGTTTGTCGTCTTCTCTTTGGCTAAGTGATTCACCAGTCACATCGTCTTTACCCTATATATACATACATACACACACACAAGCACGCACACATATACATATTAGAAGATGTTAATAATAGATCACCTTGAGTATTATTTCGATGCTAAACGTACGTATGTGCAGATATACGACAAGGTAAAGCATATAATCGGTTCTTATATAATAGAAAGATAAAATGATATAAAAACAAATATATAACGTGATAATTATCTTCCTATTAATACTATTAACACGATAGCAAGATCCATTTTGAATGTACGATTTTGTCATTGTTTAACTTACCGGTACTTTGGGATCATTAAATCCTATATTGTAAATTCTTCCGCTTGGCAAATGGACCCACCTATTCTTCACACGATTTAAAATCACGGATGTAGGTACGATTAGGTTCAGGACAAGATTTGCTGGTTGAATTCTTTGCAGCTTTTCCGCTTGAGTCAACGTTCTTGGGAATCCTGTAAATAATATCAAGTCGTTGTTCGAATTTAGATTTCATTGCAATTGCTAAAAAAGCATAATTAATTTCAAGGAACATCTAAGCTACTATGCTTCACACACCATCTAATAGCCAATTATGATTTCCTACAGCTTCAATTTCTTTTTCGATTAAGGAAATCATCGTTTCGTCTGGAACGAAACTTCCACTGTCCAGATATTTCTTCACCTCTTTGCCTAATTCTGTTCAGAAGAAAATATACAATTTAATTATTAGCACGTTCGCATACATTAACCGGTAATTATGAAGTTAGTACATACACAGACACATATATATTATGTAAGTATATGTATTTGTATTAAATCGATTTACTAACCATTAAAACAAATAATATATATATTTAATAATAATTTAATAATATATATATTTATACTCTAATAGCCTTTATATAGTATTCTATCTTATACAGATATGCTCCATATATCTTATAAACAATAATATAATATATATACAGAATAGCTCATAAATCACTCGACAAAAATGTCTTATTCTTGTAAATAGGTTTAAAAAAAAATATATATATATATGATAATTATATAATATATATTATCTAATTTTATTATATTGTTATAATAAATATATATAGTTTTTTATTAAATAAAAATATAAAAACTATTAAAAAAACTATATATATATTTATATAACTTTTTTAATAATTTCATGACATTACAACCTCGATATATAATATATATTATAGATCGATATAATAAAAATATTTTGTTAACTTAGATCACTTTTATTATTACTCAGTTTATAAAATACTTATGTATTGTATAACGAGTACGCTTACAAGTAGAAAAGTTACGTGATATGTATGACGAGAAGTAGAAAAAGACATCGTATGATCAGCCATCAGTGTGAAACAACCATAATACGTTAATCGTTAAATCATAAGAAAATATCAAACAATAGAAGATGATCGTTGAAAATCATTATTACCATAGAAAACTTTAGATCTAGATCGATGATCTAGTTTCGTTTTTCATAATGAGATAATTTCGTAATGTTAAAATAATGAATCATATTTTTTCGTCAGTTTTTTTCTTCCTTTTTACTTGATATCAATATTATTTTACGAAAGTTTTTATACGAATTATCAATGCGACCTTTGCTATTAACTTTTTATTTTCGTCGACAGCATGATGCGGTACAAAGTATAATATAAAGAACAAGATAATCAATCGTACGAATATTCTCTCTCTCTTTCTCGATGTCAATGTCGTTTAATTTCCTAAATGAGAATGATTAATGTTAGAGAAATCTAAGAAACCGTTACGAGACGTTTTAATTAACAAATATACAACGTAACGATTTCACTATGTCGAAATCTAGTTCGATTCACGTACGCACGCATGTATGTATATATACTATTATATATATATACCCTACTATATATATATATATATATATATATATATATATATGGAATGTATTATGTATTATACATGTGTGTATATATATACACATAACATTCGTTTACATGCACATGGATGTCTCGTGTTACATTGAAAATAGATTGACGTGCTGTGCCATTGATTACCCTTTCGCAATTTTTAATGAACGAACTTGTTACGATCGAGGGTGCAGCATTTATAAGAGCGACAAGCTAACGAACGGTGCTATATATAGAATATTTAAAAAAAAAAAAGAAAGATAGAAAGAAAGAAAGAAAATATTTTTAATTTCATATCGAAAACATGGAATAGTCGTTAAGCTGATCAACAAAATTGTTTAGCACTTATAATTAGTCGCTTGATTGTCGATTTGATTAGAAACTTGATACAATATTTATGCAAACGAGAGAATAAGAAATCGAATACATCATTAAAATGATATCATTCAATTTGTTTATAAACTTTTTAATTGTCAATTTATAATTGCAGCTTATATATATTTCTTCTTTGTAAAAAACTTACCCGCAGAAATATCACGTACTGTTCAGAGCTGGAAAGAAGTCCCGCGGAAGGAATATGTCTAATTGGTCAAAATGGAAGGAGACGCCTTTCTTTCAGACGCATTTTCGGCTCTATCATGCTATTTGCGGAAAAAGTCACACATACTAATTAGTCGATAATGACATATACAATAAATAAGATGTATCAAGAACAAATGAGACGGAGCGAAAATGAATTAATATCGAACCATTGGTGTAGCCCTGAATTACAGAAAGTTAGTTATTAACATAACGAAACGATATTCTTACTTTTTTGTTTTCAATATTTAATTGTAAATACGGAAATCTTACTACTATGTGTAATGTATCATAAGAGCCGAATAGTAGGGATTATGGGAGTATCAAAGGTGCGTGTGGGATGGACTTCCAGAGTAACCCCTCTTGCCCTTGTTTTGTCCCGCGAGCTTCTTTCCAGCTCTGAACAATACATAAAGCTAGAAAAAAAACGATTGATAAATATCGACGATCGCGTTATGTAATAACGAATCGTTAAAATACCCACAAGCGAATGAATAAAAATGCAATTTCTTGATAGAAAGCCAAGATCAACGAATAAAAATCGTCCATCGACCCACTCTCAACTCATTAAACATTTAATTCTTTTAAGGTATCTAATATTATCTCTTACGATATCTGAAGGTTACACGCCCATTGATCTTGCGAATTATTTTAATTCGATTCAAAAGATTACGACAAACGACATCGATTGGCGACGTTGCAAGTAAAAAGCATTGCACATACATATATATATTAGGGAGATCGGAAAGTAATGTCGCTTTCTTAAATTAAATTCAAACGAATAAATTTTTAACAAGTTTTTATTTTTAATCACAATCAAATATCGACATGCGCAGAAAAACATTACTTTCCGGTCCCCCTAATATATATATATATATATATATATATATATATATATATATATATATAGTGTGTATGTGTGTGTGTGTATGTGTTATTTTGTGATGATATACACATTGTACATATTATAATGGCCATAAGGAAAAAATAGATGACGCAATATTATAATCGACTTTTTTCCTCCTAAAAAAAATAACGTGTTTTTCGAATATGCAAAAGAATCAATAAGTTAATGGATAGTTAACCTCAAAAAAAAAAATCAGAAAAATGAATTTTCCAAAATATTCAATGAGAGGAATAAAAAAGATTAATTAAAATCGAAAATTCGAAATATGAATAAGTCAATGTAGACTCGAGTCGATTCGTATCTTTCGTAATTTCAGTTGGTAAGGAAGGGGATGAACGATCGATACGAGAAAAGTAGTCGAAAGGGGTAGTTAGAGCGGCTCGATGACAACTTTATTCCTTCGTTTCGTTCGTCTCATTTATTTTTTTTTTGTTCTACATACACAGAAACTTACATATACGTACCTGTATTATTCTTCACGTGCAAACGTAATTTGTCCCCACTGGAAATATGCATTATGTTGAAATGTTCGATGATCCTTAAGGAGATCGTACCTTTTCCGGAAGCAGGGGCACCAAGTATGACGGCCCTGAAAGCCGCAGCCTTGGAAAAACAACACGTGGATAACGCTACCATTAAATCTATCCTCTCTAAAAGTCGTTCTAAACGTCGACGACGTTCCTCCTCCTTCCTTGTTTTATAATACATTGTGTCTTCGCGTTCGCTACGGTTCGTTTGAATTCGTGAAAACTCGGTCAATTTCGTTCTAGATTCGGTTCTAGCTTCGTATCATTGTCTTCGGCCAACCTCGTACACGTTTCGATATTTCTTCCTTCTAACCTATGATATGCACGTTTTCTATATAACTCATTGTTCAATTGTCATCAACGAATCCTCGCAGACGCAAGACACGATTGACAGACGCAATAGAAACATATTCCCACCACTGAATTATTTACGAGAGGCAAAGACTATCAGTATAGAGCAACGATTCATTCATACGCGACACACTTTTATTATTGTGTGATCGTTCTCTCCCGCTAGTTCACTTACTGTGATGATTTAAGTATCGTCTACAAATTTTTTGTCCCAAAGATAAGAAAAGCATATACTATGATCTATCTTCTTTCTTCTAATTAGTGATTTCTCTACTTTCAATATGATCATAGTCTTTGTAATATTCAAATATCAAATATTTTTTTCTCTTTTTTTTTAACCCTTTGCAGATGGTACGGTTTGAAGTCAAGCTTTTGCGAGGCCGAGCCATTATCGCGGTAGTCGTTTGAAATAGCCAGTGCACATATGAGTTTATCGGCCATAGTGACGTGATTACGTGGATACATGAGTCTTTTCGGCCATAAATTGTTTTTGTCAAACGTATGTATGAGTTCCTCGGCCAAATTGATTGTTATGTAGAGCGCGTTAGTGGTCCGCAAAGGGTTAATTATCAGATCTTTGTTATTACTATACTTGATAATTCCTTTCCTTATCATTATATGTACAAGATCAAGAATTTTCCTTTAAAATATCTTAGATCGTTGCAAACAATTGCTACAGAAATATAAATGAAATAGATAAGATTATATTTCGAAGTTTGCCATCTGGAAAGTATTGCAAAAATATTCAATTAATTTATTGACAAAGTAGCACTTTATTCATATGAAAAAGTAATACAACGTTAGGGCCTGTGCCGGTTTCTTTTTATTTTTCTTCTTTTTTTTTTTGAATTTATCAAAAGCGTGTATGTATAACGAGACAATAATTAAAAGGCCTTATCCATTAAAACAGAGGTCGTTAGATTGGCCTTTCCGAGGCCGCTTTTCTCAACCAACACCACAGCGATCGTCACTCCTTAACTCGATGATGCAAATTCTTTCTTTTCATACTCTTCACATACTATATATGTATATTATATATGTGTTTGAATTTGTTTTTCATCATTATTGAATAAAGTTTATACATATAAGAGTACTAGTGAACAAGGAGGACGAACGTTAGTGTGGGGAGAGAGGGAAAACAAATTTCTCCTCTCTTTATATTTAAATAGAGACGTTCAAGTTAGCTTGCGAACTTTGCGGAGCGAATTGCTCATTTATCTTCACATCATAAAATTTCTTTTATTCTTTTCGCTCTCATCGTACCAACATTCTCCCTCCAGCGTTTATTCACTCTCATTATATTGCTCATGATAATATTTGAAAACGCTGGGTAAACATATTTTGAGTAAAGACCAATCGAATAACAGTAATGGGAACCATATCTATTCTTCTCCGACAAAAAGTTTGCACGTCTCTGCGTTAAAAACACCATATATGTATGAATTGGGCATACTTATTTATTCATAAACTCTCTTTAACTTTGTAAGCCCATCTTGTGTATGCTACAAGAGTAGTATGTCCCATCATTTCGAACTTCTTTCTATATATCTATTTTTGTAAGATTCTCTTACAATTTGCCACGTATAAACATGTACAACAATCTACGAATATAAATTCTTACATCACAATAGAGACTCTAGGATTTAAGTTTTGATTTTAAACCGTATCTCGACGGAAAAAGTTATCTTCTTCTTCAAATTTATTATTCATGTCAGGATCATAATTAACTTGAAACCTGGTCATTGAATAATTTCTCGAACGCGACGCTTGAGAGATATTATTATCATAAAATTTCCCATTTAAATATCCCATCATATAAAATAAGTAAATTACATTACAACAGCCTTTCACCCTATATTATCGAGTCTCTATTGTATTTTATCATTCTTAAAATATACATATCTATACATTCTGTGATCGTGATTTATCATTCGTGTGGTTTAAGAATCCTCTCTAATGAATACTCAATATTCCTCTTTCTTTTCATTCAATATATTGCCAGTTTGATCAAATGCAATAAAAGCATAGTTAGTCTAGTGCTACCTTAAGCTATACTTATTTATGTGTACTTAAATGTAAACTAATCATAGCAAAGATGCGTTCTCTTTTGTCCTTAGTTTGTCTTTTTTTACTTTCATAATAATCCAATTTAAAATTAATTCATTATTTTCTACGCAAATATTAATAATAAGTCTTAAAATGTTATTTATTGAAACATTTGGTCGACTTTTATTTAAAACAAAAATTTGAAGAAAGCTTTGCTTCATTGCGTTATAAAAAGAAACTATGATTTATGGAGAAAAAAAAAATATTTGTAAAATGCTATTATCGTAACGAGATAATATTTTTGTCAAGCAAAAGCAAAAGTGAAATAAATTGAATAAATTGGAGGCTTAGATTTCTTAAATCCTGCACGTGTAATTCGATTGTGTTATTAATTGTATGTCGCGTGTTCCAGTGTGCTATCTAAATATATAAATGTATAGAAAGAACGAATGAGAATCTTCGGCTATTTTACCAGAGCTCTCCATCCTTTTCCTTGGCTGGTACCTCGATTACTCGAGGTTTATCGATTATTCTAGCAGTACGATTTCCTTTTTCCACAATACCAATTATCCACGCTTGATAACCCTCTTGTTTCTCTATATCTTTGCAATATGCAGCCGCCTAATAAAAGAAAAAATAAAGGTCACGATAAGTCAATAAATATGACTTACTATTTAAGCAAAAATTATGATTTAAATTGTAAGAGAATTGACAACACTAAAATGCTACAATAGCAAATCAGCATGGGTATCTCTAAATGTTTATCTACCTGCTTTTCTTTAGAGTATTAAATGAAAAATAAATACTCTACTGTATTAGCAGGTATACGAGAAATTCTATATAAAAACCTGTTCTCGAGGAAGGCATATAAGAAGCCCGCCGCTTGTTTCAGCAGAATGTCCTTGAAGTAATTGGAACATGTTACCGCAAGCTTTAGCTACCGCTGCCATCTTCGCAATAACAGGTAAGTTATGGATAACGAAGGAGACTTCATTTTTCTGGTGTTTTGCGAGGTTTTGTGCATGTCCTAAAAGGCCAAAGCCTGTAACGTCCGTTGCTCCATGTGCATTATATTTATGCATTAATCTCGCAGCTGCAATTAATTTCAAATATATTTATGATAAATTCTTATTCCATAAATATTTTAAACAAAGTACATATGTGTATATACACAAACACACATATATCGTATATAACATGATATAATGAAATATATTTTTCTCGTAATATACCTATTCTGTTTAATCGAGCCATACTATCCATTGCTCGTTGATAAGCTTTCCTTACATCATCTTCACTAACAACAAGTTTAATTCTATTCCAACGATCAGGTTGGTCCAGCCATTGATGCGCATTTACAGCAACTTGCGTACCAAGAGGTTTTGTTAACACAAGTACATCGCCAACCACTGCATTATCTGGTCTACATATTTTATATGCTTATAATTTTTGTCATAAAAGATCTTTCAATATTATTTGTATTGCTTCATCTTTTCGTTAAAATGAATATTATAAAAATATAATCATCGCAATGAAAAGTTCTAAACATACACAATATATTCGTTTGGTTGACAAACGGTAGAAGCAACACCACCTATTGTACACCAAGGATTAACAACTGTTTGACCACCAGTAACAGTCGTTCCAGCTTCCAATGCTGAATCTTTAAAACCTCTCATAATTAATGGAACAACAACGTCACGCTCTTTTTCTGTCATTTTTGTACTGACACCCAACAACATTAACATATTGTCACATTCAGTGACTCCCATGGCATATAAATCACTGATGACATTGGCGCATGCAATTTTTCCTGCAAAAATACTCCAATAACAATGATAAAAGAAACTACAAAACAATATTCCTAGAATGTAAAATAAAATTTAAGTATGTCATAAGACATAATTATAAACATAAATCAAAGAGTTCCATGTTACTCGTATTGATGTATGTCTTACCCATCATATAGGGATCATCGACTAGTGGGTAGAAAAAATCTGTCGTTTGTACCAAGCTTAGTCCACCATGTCTTAAAGGAGTTACGGAAGAATCCATACCAATGCCTGAAACAATAAATATAATGAATTAGGAACAATTTCACAAACCAAAATAAAATCATAAAGAAAAGATATACTTGTAAGAGAGTTGATACATAGATTGGAGTGCCAATTAAATGCATATCAGTATGGAAAATCTTTAAACATTTTTCTACTCGCTGTTCTTTAGAGTACTTTATACATAATTTATTTCATTGTGTTAGCAGGGATTCTAGAAATAGTCAGTTTATTAACTAAAAGAATGACGCGCAAAGTTATAGGAATCATTATAAACAATATTTCAAGATATGACTCGTACTTATTATGTCACATAACATTTTATAATATTCAGTATATTTATCGCGCCAATAATTCATACAAAAAAGTTGAGAACATCTGTACTTCCGGTAGCGTGGGAGAAAAGAGGCGGGAGATGTGGTTGTATTGGCCGCCATATTAAATAGGGCTGGATCGAACATACTTGTCCCCCCAACCCTTTCTATACAATGGAATTTTCCTATTACGATCGATCCCTTAATGCGGATTTTCGAAATTTCTACGACAGTTGAAGTTATTTTTCCTTTAGATTGGAATAAAATTTTTTATATTTAATATTCTTAAATAATTAATGATAATAAAATACGAAAATACGAATTCAACGTAGAAAAGTAAGAATCGATAAGACCGAATATAAATTCGCTATAAATGGAATTGAAAAAGGAAATAAATCGCAAATAAAATGATCGACGACGGAAAAAGATAGATGTAGAATGAAAAAAAAAAAAGAGGCACATCTTCATAGAAATGCAACTCTTACACAATCATGTTCAGCCGCGTGTATTCATAAGTGCACATAGCGCGGGCGCGTGCTCGCGTGTGTTTAATTACGCATAAGCATAACTCACCGATGCGCGGAATGGCCATATGCATAAAGTGGGCATGTTCATGATCCTGTGCGGCATTATCGTCGGCCTGTAGTCCCTCTAGGAGTTTCCCAAGAACCTCCTGAGGGACTTTACACCCTCATCCTTTTAGGTCGGCGAACCGCGTTAAGCGGAAGGTCGCATCGAGATCATGTGCCACCGGGTCGAACGGCCTGCGCAACGCCAAGGCATTTGGATTACCACCAAGTTCCAGCTGTACGACGGACAGGGCGTCCTGAGCTACCGGGGTTCCCTGTATCTCCGCCATCTTGTCCCAAAATCTCGAAAGAAGACGCGATAGACGGAAAAGAAAAAAAAATCTCTTGATAGGTCTATTAGGTTTTCGAGTTTTCCTTGATAATCTTCTAAACGATTGCCCTTCTACAGAGTTCTCACACACGTTTACAAACAGACTTATTCAACGAATCGAAAGACGTAAATTATATGATACGGTACGCCGCCGACAGACAGCCACTGCTCGCGATTGACCCTACACGACTATAACCGCCCCGTGGCTGTGAACTCACATCGAACGTGAATTATACTCTACACCGGCGTCGACTAACCGGGATCGTACGCGTCGACAAAATGGACGCGCCTCCAACGTTCACGGAGCTGAGAGAACGCGCAAGGCCACCGTGAGCCCCCACGATGCCCCTACCGTGGCGTTACACCTTTCTGATTGGTCCTTTCGAATTGGCGCATGCGTATTAATCAACGATCCTTCAGGTCCGTATCTAAAGTATCGTTTCGCCACTGTAACAAAGCCTCCTCACGCTTCATTTTAAACAATATTCTTGACGGTGTTTCTCTCTTTCCTTCTTATATATGCTTCACTCATCTAAAGTTCGACCGATGACGGTCGAATTTAGAGAAAGACGCTTGATTTTATGATAAATATTTTTTTATTGAAAGCACAGAAATATTTTTAATTTCAATTTCGTTTCATTTAATTTCGATTAATTAATAACCCGCGACATAATAGATTAAAGAGGATCCATACAGTATGAAATTATTTTGATCATATTCCAAATGTAATCTTTACGATTATAATAAGATAAAGATTTTCTTTTTTTGATTTATAAAAATGTTTATGTACTTATTGATACAGATGCTGATTTGAGACTAGAAAAAATACGAAACATGTAAACGTAAGCTATTCTTATACGTTACGATTGCTGATTCGTATTCAGATATATGAGTAACCCCGGTCGATTACATTTGTTATGAACTGATAGATTTATAAGATTTTATATACCGGAATTAATTTACGTAGGCTCAAGTGTCATTTACCAAAAATGCTAATAAGCTCACATTTTTTTTATCGTCATAACTGATACTTTCATTTCTCTTATGAATATCATGCCAATTACAAGTCCGACGTCTTTGACAGTGGTTCTCAATAATGAAAATTTTTCTGCGTTTTTTATTTTTTTTTGATCCCATTTGTTTTCGAGCCGTAACATAAACTATAAAATGATTAGTATTCGAATAAACTCGGTTTTGTCAATATTGATAAAGAAAAGATTAGTCTGATTGTTCTTTTTTTTTTCTTCTTTCTTTTTTGTTTCATGCAACATTCCATGCTAATAACAATTTTTTTCTTGTTAAACGTTTCCTTTATAAAAAAGCCATAAAAGATACGTTTAACTTACTTTTTAATTTAGTCACCTTAATACGATTACGATATTCATTGCCGAACTGTCGTTGGCAGAGTGCACTATGCGGGCGATGGTCGTCTTGGAATGCTGCTCGTTCGCCAAGCGATCGTAGAACTTGTCTCTCTCTCTCTCTCTCGCTCTCTCTCGCTCTCTCTTCCTTTGCAATGTTTCCCGCGCAAAATGGCGATAACACTCTGTTCATGCAGAGTTCCAAGAGATCTTTCCATCATGTCGGAGATTATTTACAATCAATCCGACACGTTAAAAGGAATTCTCTTTCATTAACATACTTACATCGGATAGTTCGAAAATCGGTGCTTAAACAAGCAAATTAAATGTCTAATACCAATTAATTTTATTGAACAATATAAGAAGTAATTTACATTTATTTTTGACTGAACGAATTCGTTATAGCTTGATAGTTTAATTCTATTGTTAGTCATTTCAACGAAGTAACTGCACGAAGAAGAACAAAGTATATATACGTGTAAAAGCTTCCCATTCGGTATTCTTCTGAAATTGCTAAATCGTATACTTTCGATTGATATTTCTATCACGCAACGTGGATTCGCAATATTTTAGTTTTTAATTTACAAGTATTTTAGCTATGTAATTTACGAAGTATATTAAAAATAAAAGAAAAACAATAAAAAAGAAACATCGAACAGTCGATATCACGCCGACAGCAATGAAGAAAATATTCAAAGTATAATTATCTATACATAGATACTATTGGCGTTAAGCATGGAAACTTTTTTCATACGAAATCTACCTTACCGATAAGAGTAAAGTAAATCGAAAAGTATAAGATCTTTTGTAATTGATGCTTATCAACATAAGATCAGTCGATAAGGTAGAAAAATATTTTTTACACTACAAAATTATAAATATTTAAACAGCTTTGTTTAATATATGCATATATATATATGTATATGTATATATATGCATATATAATAAATAATATATATATAAAATATATATAGATGATATATAATAAATATATATATACATATATATATATATATATATTTGTTTTCTCTCTTTCTCTTTCTTTTCCTACATAAAATAATATCAATTAATTATTTTATCCTTCTAAAAAAAATCTCTAAATCGAAAAAATTGATATCTACCGAAGGATCATCGTTACTCAGTTTCCTTTTTTCACATTTGGATAAAATGATCCTTAGAACTCTATTCCTTTTTCCTTATTCGTAGATTCTTTGAATCCATCGTCAACGTCCAGTGTCACCGTTTATATTTTTCTAAAGTGCTGCTTACGTATCGCGAAAGGCAAAGAAGGATAAAGCCAGTCGAGTATTCGCCGCCGTAGCGGCAGTAGCAGCAGCAGCAGCAGCAGCAGCAGTAGTAACAGCAGTAGCAGAGTAGTAGTAGTAATATCAGTAGCAATAGGAAAAGTAACGCTACGTTGGGAGTGTGTGGTGGACTGCTCTTGTCGTACTTGAGCGCAATCGTGCGGTAGAGTACTGCGAAACGGTGTGCGCGAAAGGCTGCATTCTCGTGCGTTTGTCTTCCGACCTAGTTTTCGCACGACGCCTTCGCGATTTTCGACAGTCTCTTTAGTTCTCTCTCTCTCTTTCTTTTTCTCTTTCTCCCTCCTTCTTTTCTCTTTCCATTTTGCAACGGTGGCTCTTCGTAAGCACGGCCGGTCTCGCTAGGTGTTTGTGCGGATCGATCGCACAGCGGAATGATGTCGCCTTGTTCTCGTTGAGAAGCTCATGTTGTTTCCGTGCTCCTTATTCTTATTCTTATTTTTTTTCGTCGTCTTCGTCATTGCGTCGTCGTTGTGTGTTCCAGCCTCTGAAACTTTTTCTTTCTGTCTCTTTCTCTGATTAAAGAGAAAGGTAGATATAGATAGATAAAGAGAGAGAGAGAGAGAGAGAGAGAGAGAGAGAGAAGAGAAAAAGAGGGAGAGAGTGAGAGAGAGAGTGTAAGATAGATAAAGATTATAGACAAAGAGATAAGTTCAAACGGAAAAAATGCAAGACACAGCAGACCACTCATCCAAATCGGTGCTTTTAAACACTTTCATCGTGAAGAAGAAGAGGTGTCGTGTGTATTTTCATCGTGGCATCCTCATCTGGGAAACGGAAAGACCACCTTATAGTAAGTCAGAAACGAAACGCGTTTTATTTATTGCGACGCATTAAAAACAAACAAACGTGGACATACATACTTTCAAAGTGTCACCACGTGCCTTTCTACTCTATTAACTTAGTGAAATATTTCTATTTCCGAACATTATTGTTTTCAGCTTTCTTTTTTCTTCTCCTTTTTTCTTTTTCTTTCTTTCTTTCTTCCTTTCTTTCTTTCTTTCTTTCTTTCTTTTGGGGGGGGGGGTGGAGGACGCATTGCTTCTAATATCCTTTTTGTACTCTCTTCGTTGACCTTGAAACAGAAAGATGCGCATATAAATACACATTTTTTCCTCTTTCTACTAGATAATTGATTTTGCGATTTTTGTGTGTTTACAAAAGTTTAAGATCTTTTTGGATCTACAATACTAGTTTTTTTTTTGCGTATATATTATATTTTCGGGAAAAAATAAAATATAGAACATTATAAAAGAAAAAACATTGATAATCCTTAAGCTCGAGAATATCCAATATATCTTCTTTTATTTTATTTTTCTTATCGAAATCAATTACAATATTCTATTCAACTTGATGTCGGAGATTAACTTACGAGAGATAAGACAAGAGTTTGGAGTTTTCGAAATGGAGTTTCGTAAATTAAGATATTCGAGATTAAGAGATATCAAAATAAAGACTAAGTTTTTGATTAGATACGTCACTTTCGTTCGATTTACGACTGAATTATTTGTTTCATAAGCTCGAAATTTTTTTCGGATAAATGATTAGATCGAAGAATTGTTAAATGAAAGTTCGTATTTCGAACATTCGCGCGACAACCGTTCCTGAATGAAAGGAATGGTGGAAGTGGGTCGTATCGAGAAAATGCTACGATGCTTGACCTTGCCCTTTCATTTGTATGACACTGTTAGGAAGAAGAGCGGTAGTTGTCCATTGAAATTATAGTTATAATGACATTATCACAGTCCCATTTTCTTTTCTTTTGTTATACTTTCGAAACGATTATTTAACTTTATGAGCTTTTATTTAGTTTTCTTTCTTTTTGGATTTTTCTATCTTTTAAAGAAGGGAAAGATTAATGTGTTCTTTTTTATCTTTCTCTCTCTTTTTCTTTCTTTTTCTCTCGTATATTTTATATAATTTTAAAATGACTCCTTAGAGGTTAAGTTTCATTTAAGGAGAGTGTTTTCCATTTTGTAATATAATTTTCCTCGTATATTTTTATGATATCTATATTGATCAAAAGTAAAGTTGTACATATAATGATACAATAAATAATGATTTTTTTATACTTTTATTCAGAAAACTTCAGTATTTTTAGTATTTTATGCATGTATATATGTATGTATGTATATGTAATCTTTATATTAATGAATCATCTAACTTATTATGAATCTCTCTCTCTCTCTCTCTCGTTTTTTTTCCTGAAGTATTATTATTATTTATAACAACTTCTCTTCAAAGTCAAATAACCTTTCCATAGTTTTTATTTAAATATAAATAAAGATATTCGTGTTATATGATTTATTCGATATATGTAGGAAAGATAACCTTTATAATCGATCTTGTTTATGTGTATATACGAAAATATTTAATGACATTACTATCGTAAATCGATGTTATTGGATAAAAAACAAAAAAGAAAAAAAAAGAAAGAAAAATATTCTTGAAGAATAAATAAATTGTTTGGATAATTTAATTTTTTATTAGAGAGAGAAAGAAAAAAGAAAGAGATATTCGAGCTCTTGAAAAATATAGAACTTTGGCTGTCCAGTCACGTGGACATCAAAACATGTGTCGATACGTGCACACGTTACGTCCTTGAGTACGATTT